CCTGCTCACTGGTTGGTTTCCTTTCGGCTTCCTTCCCAACCAAAGGAGGGTCCGCCACTGCTGACTTCCCAGTAAGCTCTCCCCCGAAAAGTGTATTTGGTAGGTTCAAGGGAGGAAAGGGGTGCTGTTGAGCGTGACATTTCATCAACATGGTGAGCTAATTTCTGGCTACTTCATCATTTTCATGATATTTCAAGGTATAACTAGGGACGCCACAAGAGTGCTGGTGAAATGTAGCACTTGAATTGCTGAAGCACCCCTGATGTACACAAAGCACCAAGGGATGCCTTGGGTTGATACCCCGCGCAGCAGGGGCTTGCAGGAGGGATGGTTCCTTAAAGAAAGGAGGCCCGTTCTTGCGCCATTCCGGCTCCATTTAGTTAATAAAATGCTTTCCTTCAACGGTGTGCTTGTCAGTTTCTAGGAGGGGTATCTCAGCCAGAAGGGCAGGTTATCTGTGAACGGGGGAGTAACTAATAGACCAGGAGAAACAACACACTTCCATGGAGGACATCTTTCATATGATAGAGAAAATGACGGGGTCTCCAACCAGCCTTCTGTCCGCTCTGATTGGTCGCAGTTCAATATTGCCGTTATTTTTGGCGGGGGGGGGGGGGGCTCTATTTTTTCAACCCCTACCTATGTTTGATACTCGATGACCTGTTTTGCCCCTTGGTTGGTTTAGAACAAGCAGGTTGGGAATTGAACAAAGCAAGTGACAGAAACCGCTGGACTGATGATAACGACGCAACATCGGACTCAGATCAGTGAGGGGTTTCTCTTTTCGGGCCCATGTTGCAAGGGGAAACACAAAGAAACCCATCCTTTCAGCAGGTCCTGTTCTGAGTCAAAATCAGGGTGTAACATAGTGGCTTCCCGTTTCGATTCCCAAAAAGGGCGCCCTCCAAAAATCACAGCTCCGTGTCTGGCGCTTGTTTTCGCTTTCGCGTGGGCGCCTGGTGACATCGTTGTAGCTCCTGCAGCAGGTGCAACGCCATGGGCCACTGCGTAGTCCTCAGCGCCCAAAGAGGCGGAGCCCCGCAGCTGCGAGTTGCCCAAGAAAAGACTCCCGGTGGGAGTGGGGGAACACTGGGGTGGGGAGGGGAGGGGAAACATTGGGCGCACAGGAGTTTGGACAATGTGGATTCTGAAACATTTGGACAGCATGGGTTTGCTCTGACACTTGGCATTGCGCAACAGTCCATTGTCAGGATGATGATGATCATCATCATAATCATCCTCCTCATCCTCATCCTCATCCTCATCATCATTCTCATCCTCATCCTCATCATCATCCTCATCATCATCCTCATACTCATCGTCACCATCACCATCACCATCACCATCATCATCATCATCATCATCATCATCATCATCAGCATCATCATCATCATCATCATCATCATCATCATCATCATCATCATCATCATCATCATCAAACCAACTTCACTGCGAGGGCACGATACTCCCAAGGCCCCCGGGGAGTTTCAAAGGGAAACCGACGGGAAAGAAAACTCAGCTTTCTTTTTGCGGTTCTCCCATGGGAAGATACACTTAACAGGGGCGTCTGGAACAAAGGGCCATCATTTGCCCGGGTATTGGCAACCATGTGTCTCACAGGCGGCAATGGCAGAGCTGTAGATGAGCAAGTTGGGGGATCCCATTGCCTGGCAAGCAGCAAGCGAAGCCGGCCCCTGCGGCTCTGGTGAAACGGGAACCATATCTTTCCCTGAAGGCCGCCTTCCAATTGAGGAAGGTACCTCAGCCTTTCTCGCCAAACGATGTCCGTTTTGTCTGGCCCATATGTAGTGACCCTGAACATGCAACATGTCGCAAGAAATCTCAGAACCGATGTTGATATGGGCTGGCCTCGTTGGGGATTCCTTTCCAGGGCGACCGGTCACGGAATTCTGAATGTACCCCTTGTGTCAAAGCAAATCGCACAAATCCCAGATGGTTTGTCGGTCATCCGCTCTCTGTACTACTTTACAAGCCCACATACCGGAAACTTGTTTGCCATCTACTTTCACCCTGGTGTAATCAATTTCAACATGACCTCTAGGGCCTTTGGCCTGAAACTGCTTGCCGCCGCTTCCACATTTCCCTTCGACAAGCTCCCCCGCTTGCATACAACCGTGATAAGCAACGGGGGACCTTGACAATCGTGGTTTTCCTTTTGTGTTCGATTTGAAGCAACCTACGTTTAAACCAAACCTAAACAAGGAACCACGCGACGTCTGCCGTATGGTCAACTCCCCAAAACCTATGGATTGCCCTGACAGAAGCAAAATAAGATCGGCTCGTGAAACTTGATTTGGACAGAGGGTTTCCCCTCCAAGCAAAACAGGCGGAAGCACAGGGCCACCTCTTCTGGCAAATGTTAAAATCTAAGGGACTCCCTGGAAATAAAGATAACAACAGGGTCCCTCTTGTTTGTCTGTTAAGCTAAGTCTGCTAAGGGAACCCAAAGAAATGTTCCAGAAGGACACGTCCCACTGGAGGTCTGAGTTTAACTCATGACTTGCCTGGCACAGCTCCAGGCTCCACTGCCACTTGGCACACTTCTTGGCGACCGCAGCTAGGGCGCCCCATGCGCCAGCGCCCAAACACCCCTGGCAGGGAGTTTCGGGTGGCCAAATACTGCAACACAAAAGGCAGTATTTTATAATTAACAGTTCTCCTGGGATCATGGCTTACTTTTTCTTTGAAGTACAGCCCATTCTAATCATTACGACGCTTGTTTTGCTCCCCAGATCAACTTGCTGATCCGCGTGCTATGCATTTGGGAATCCAAGCAGCCCTTGCTTTTTGTTTAATCTCCTCTCGCACAACCTCCCCCCAGGTGCAACACGAATTTGCAGAGCAACTCGGAGACTGAATAGGAATCTCCGGGACCATCATGGGTGGGGGTCGCAAACGAGCTCGCTTTTGCGGAAAATTCTGGAAGGGTTACCAGTGCTGGCTTAGAACTGTGCTTTCTGCTGGAGCTGGAGGTATTCGTGTGCGAAGAAACATGTGCGCCCAAAATCCCTGTTGGCCATTTTAGAATGGGGTTCAGTTCTACTCCTGGTTTTATTGGGTTTACAGTAAGGCCTTTGAACCTCCGCCATCAGGATGCGCACGTGCCCCCTAGACCCCCAAAAGGGCTAACCTTCGGTGGTATTCGCCTCCTTCGAGCGCAGATCCTCCGCCATGCTTGCAGCTGTCGGCCAGGCGCCCTTGCCTGAGACAACTCAGGATCTGCCTTGCTGAGACGACCCTTTTCCGACGCAGAAAATATGGGACAACATGAAAGCAACCACCTCGCGCAACACCCGGAATCCGAGTAGCCCATTTCGAACTCGTTTGTTTGGAGGGTTGCAACTCATCGTTTCACATGCAGCGGTCCCAGGATGACCTTTGGGGACGTGAACCACAACGAGGACCCTTTTTAGAGGCATGCCTTAATTTTGTAGATATTTCCAAGCCGCTAAATGGACACTTGCTGCACCCCAGCTAGTGGTTTATCCAGCTAGTGGTTTACAACTTTAGTGAATAAGCCCCCTGAGTCGCCTTGACCCTCCTTTATTAAGGAACTGAACTTACTGATCAGGGTTGATATCTTTTTGCAGAGTCATCCATTGCGAATCATGGACAAGCGCTGCCGTACACTGACCCATGATGGGCTCTCTTATCTGATCTTATTCCGAAAAATAGAGTGCCTACCTAAAAAGAGGGGGTTTTGAACACAATCCATAAACAGATGTCATTGTTTGGCGACACACTCAAATCGCGGTTTCCCCAAACGGCGGGGAGACGGCGGGGAGCTCCTTCTCACAGAGCCGATGATTGCGGTTCAAGACCCACGGCTAATGCGTCTTTTGCATGTGTGGCGGTTGGTCACGGGGAATGCCCAGTTGTTCACTGACATTGGAAAAAGAAACCAGTTTTGGGGGGCCTCCAAACAAAAAGGGACGAGAGGGCGTAAAGCACTTCCACGCATTGTGAATCCAGGCGCTTTCATTAGGTTCTTCAAAATTCACACCGCCGGAAAGTCAAAGGGCAAAATTGATATGTGACTACACCATCCAAGTCATCAAAACATGGGCCACCGGGGCCAGAATCAACTTGTTTGATGCGAAACGCCAAAGTGGACCAACCAAGAGGCACACATTGGGCTTGGATCCTTTCGACGTACCTTGACATCAGCCATGTGCAATATTCGTTCCCTGAAAGCACAGGGGAAAATTGGGGCCCGGCCCTCTTAAGTCCCGTAACTTGAGCTTCCAATGGTTGGATTCATTTAGGGAAACCCAAAAGGAACCCAGTGGCGTCCCAAATGGCCTGCGAACTAAGGTTGGCACTCGCGCATGCGGCCATCATGACATTCCAGGTCACCGTGTCCTTGCGGACTTTTAACCAGTGGATTTCCGCAGGACAAAACTTGGAACCCTTTCTTGGTACTTGGTGCGTTGCTTTTGGGTAACTGCTTTCACTGAGGTGTAAGGAGGCCTTTGGCGCTAAGCAGTGTCTTCCTCAAAGATGGATCCCACAATAAACATGTACACCACGGTCAAACACGCAGTTCTCGTTGGAGATGTTGAGCTCATCCCCTTGTCTAAAAGCCCAAATTAAAGATAGCATCTCTACTCTTGGTATGGTAGCGCAAAACTGTGCTTTTTGCAGACCCCCAGTAAAAATGACCAGAACCAAAAAAAAAAAAAAAAAGCATGCCAAGAACAGTGAAGATAGATTGGATACTTTGACCGAAGCTTGTGTGTACTAATTGACCAAATGCTGATTATTGTTCTTGCAAGCGACCGAAGGGGATTTGGAGCAAACTTTGCATGGTGTTATTTTTCTCCCAGGACCGGTTTGCTCCGCGTGCCTCGTGAGGAATTCCAAGAGACTAGGCTGAATCGAAACGAAGCCAATCGAATGTATTTAGTTCGATCAAATTTCATATATGGTTTATTTAACTAATACATTCTTATGCAAAGGTTGAAGACAGAGCCCAAAGTGATTGACCCAAAGGGACAATAATAGATTGCCCGTTCAAGGCCGACACATCCTACAATAAGATCCACCGAACAACCGATAGATACAAACCTATCCAAAACCGATTCCCATCTGCAGAAAGGAAACTGACGCTCTGGTAATATTGTCCGTTGCTGGCAACAACGAAGGGGTTGAGGGTGGAATCCACCACCTAAGCACCCAACCACCCAACCACCCAACCACCCAACCACCCAACCACCCAACCACCCAACCACCCAACCACCCAACCACCCAACCACCCAACCACCCAACCACCCAACCAACCACCAAACCAACCACCCAACACTCACACCAAACCACCCACCTGCCCAACCAACCACCCACCAAACCACCCAACCGCCAAACCACCCACCCACCCACACACCCACACCCACCCACACACCCACACCCACACCCACACCCACACCCACACCCACACCCACAGCCACCCAAAGCCTACACCTTCTGCATGAAAGCTTCAGGCCGCAGTTGATTTGTCGCAAGTGCCAAGCGCCAGCTGGCTGTGCCGCAAGCCTCAAGGGCCGCTCTTGGCTGGGCAGAAATTCGGTCCCTGGCAAAGGGGAAACCAAAGGAAACCAAGCAAGTCATTCACCAACTTCAGGTTTGGCCCCTAAAAACACAGAGCGCTGGCTGGTTTACGGGCAAAAAGTGACGCCGATCTTTTATTCGCTTTGCAAAGGGCTGTCACTGAAGAACCGGCATTGAAAATTGCAAGCACTTGCGCGCGTCACCAGTCATTGATCCCAGCTAGCTGAATCCCTTTTCTCGGCTTGGATGGACTTGCGGTTTGCCAAAGCTTCCCACGAGGGTATATGTAGACCAGCCCGACGCGCAGAATCTCACTTCCTGAGTAGATTGGCAGAAAAACGGCCAAACTGTTGATTGCCACTAAATGGTCTTTCGCAAAACGTAAAACGCGCAGAAACTTAGGAAGTGAGGAACGCAGTGGCTGCAAGTGTCCCCACATATCTTGGTTTGTTTGCGTGCTCAAAGTGAAGAGTCCCTCTTGAATGGGACACCCCGGTTGGTAGAGCAGGACTGGCTGATAAGAAGTCAGGAGATCACCAAAGGTTGCCGTCTCAATGTAGAACATGGGGAAACCAGTGAATAACAAAGCAAACATCCTTACGTGCTCTACCTGCAAAAGCTCGGCTCAATGCGCCAGCAGTTCAGGAATTTACTCAGGCTGGGGCTTGGGTTGGCGCTGCTACATTGGCTTAGGGTTGCTTTAGGCACGGCTATGAATAATGCTTGGTTGAAGCGGGGTGAGGTCCACGCTTGGAGCTATGCTTGCAGTTGTCTTGAGGTTGCTTGATTCTGGCTGTTTAGCACTTCTGTCAGGGTGGGGCTAGGGTTGGCCATCCGTTGGTGTAAGGTTGGTTGAGGCGGGCGGGATTCAAGTGCAATGTAGTGTTGGCTTACGGTTGAGCAACACAAGATCAACCCTTCAGCTTCCCAAACTGAATCGAAGTGCTTGCTGAACGGCCAGAACCTTGCCCTGAAGCAACCCCAAGCAAATGAGCCAGCCGAAACCTGCAGACAACACAACCAACCAAAAGGGCATGTGATGTCAAACGCGTTCTTGTTTTTGCAAACGACATGTTCGTTTGCGTTGCGTCCGGATATGTACTTTCTGTGCTGTACAGGTGGTTCTGTATGCCTTTCGGTGATACTGCCTCGGCGTTGCAAAGTTCCTTGTCATAGCTGCGAGGCCTCTCTGCAAGCTTCTCTGCGCAGGACATCCGTACGAGCTCAAGCTCTTTCCGCTAGTGGCCTCTGCATGCGCATGTTCTCTCGGCAAGTTCTTCTATGCCCGTTCGCTCTTCAAGTTTCCCGGCGCAAAATCTCTGTGCAACTGTCTCTCGCAAGTTGCTGTTTGCAAGTTTTGCGAGCACGTCGTGCTCAATGCAGGGGATCGTTCTGAATTGAAGTGCCGCCAAAAAAATGTACATTGATCACGCCGATGCCCACAAAGGGTTGCGCGCGAAGAACAAAGTCTCCTAAACCCTCACATTTCGCACATGGACGCAAAAGCCCTTCTCGACCACGCCAGTCCCGTAGAGGGGTCACGCGCATGTATGTCGCAAATTTGCGAGACAAGTCCTTAGTTTTGCCTCGCGCGAACTTTCTCGCGCCACTTCGCTTGTGCGCTTTGCTACGCGACGGCGAGTTCTCTTGCGCGAACTGCTGCGAGTGTTCTCTCGTGCAACTTGTTGCGCGCGTTCTCGTGCAATTTGCTGCGAGCTTTCTCTCGTGTTTCTTGCTCTTCACGCACTGTCATGCTGCTTGCCCTGCGCGTGCTTTCGTTACTCGCTCTAAAGTGCTCTCTTGTGCAGCATACTCTTCTCGTGCTGCTTGCTCTGTATGCCCCTTGCGCTTATTGCTCTGCAGGATTGCGCAACCCAGGGCATGTGCTCTCTTGCATCTTGCTCTGCGTGTGCTGTGTGCTATGTTTGGCTGCGTTAAGGCTGGCGATTTTGCCGGAACCCTTCGCAATGCTCTCGCAATGCTGTCGGAGAAGAAAACACATTTCCATCAATTCCAGCCGCCAGCAAGGGCTCAAGCTGGAGGCTGTGTTTGGAGAGGCTCACTTGCCTCCCGGCTCTTCCGGTCAACATGGGTGTGCCTTGGGTATTTTGCCGGGCTAAAGGGACGAGGCTGGCAGGCTTAAGGGTTGATTCTCAACAGCCCAGGTGGGTTTGGGGTGGGAACATCGATTTTTGAACCCAGTCCCGAGCAACTCGACCAAGCCTCTGGCCAAGACGTAGGCGTTGTTGGTCACCTGGTTCAGCTGCATGGCAGCGCCTCAAGTGCAACCCCACCACAAAACACCATTGAGGTGTAATATTTGCAAATGACAGGTTTGGGGTTGAAAGATTTAAAGTGACATCCGACCAAAGCAACCAGCCCACCCGCCGACAGCGCCGACAGCTGCGACAGAGCCTGTGATTGACAGCTGTGACAGAGCTTGTGACAAACAACCTGAATTTTCAGCCCACCAGTGGACAAATTCCTTACTTCAAGCAGGCAGGCAGCTGAGCCTTTCAGCAGGTAAACGTCTGAGGGGGGGATGTTTGAAGTGAAGTGTTTAGGGTACCCCTATTTGGTTGGTTTTTAAAGGGGAACCACAAGGAACACCGAAGCCCGAAGCCATTTGAGCGAGGGGAGGGGGAAAGACGCATCTCTGCTTGGCAACCTCCAGGTTGTCGTAATTTGCAGAAAACATGCTATCATGACCATGCGCCACAACTTGCGGGCCGGATGAACTTTCCATTTGCCAAGTGGCAACGGGAACCAAGGGCAACAATATTACCTCAGGTACCCAAAGCTTGATTCTGGTCTATTTCGTGACCGTGGTGTGTAATACATTAAACAAATCCGAGTTGCCACTGAAGAGGGAGCAGGTTTAAACGGTGTCTGATCTCCTGTCTTCCAACCTCCAAGAATCAAAGGGCATTTTGAGAGGGGCCCAACAAATACCCATTGATTGGTGCTAAATAAGGGTCATGGAAGATCTAAAATTACACATCCCCTTCTTGGTCTCGCCCTGGGTAAGTACACAGGTGTGGGCAATTTAGCACCCACACCTATGGCATACCCTGAGAAAATGCCAGCACGCAATAGTCTCTCTGAGCAAGCCGCCAGCTCGGGCATAGAGCGCCAGAGCCAATGGCCAGGAGTGTCCTGAGATCGTCCGGGTCCGTTTCACTCGGTCCGTTTCACTCCGAATCATTGCCCGCAGACATGGAGGCACGCAGGCACCCTTGAGAGGACAGGTACTTGGTCGGAGGGCAACACGAAAATGAAAACACGATGGCGGCTCTTAAGTTCTTAATGAACAAATTGAGTGCCAAAAGCTTCGAGGTCGCAACAAGAACTTCCCGTTTGAACATCACCCAGAGGAACCCCACCAGACCTTAGACTCATAGTAAAGCTGATGTTGAAAATTAAAAAGGGAACCACTTGTCCCGAAAGCAACATATCTCAGCGATCGCTAGGTGTCGCTGGAAACTAGGGCTTCAGGAATTCTGCAAGACTTCAACATATCCAAGTGCGACAAGCATGCTGCAGCATGTGGTTGCGAGCAGTAGTTGCACGCACACACCCACCAACATAGACACACACACACAGACACAGACCCACACACACACACAGACAAAACACAGACAAACACAGACATACAGACACACAGACACGCACACAGACACACAAACACACAGACACACAGAGACAGACACACACGCACAAACACACACAGAGAAACACACACACAAACACAGACACACGCGCACATACAGACACGCAGACACACAGACACAGAGGCACGCACACACGCACACGGAAACACACTCACACAGCCACACAGACACATGCACGCGCACAGAGAACACACGGACACACACACACAAACACACAGACACACAAACACAGAGAGACACACACACACACAAAGAGACACAGATAGACACACACACACACAAAGAGACACAAATAGAAAAAAACAGACAGAGATAGACACCGCTACACACACACACACACCCACACACCCACACACCCACACACCCACACACCCACACACCCACACACCCACACACCCACACCCACACCCACACCCACACCCACACGCACACGCACACGCACACGCACACGCACACGCACACGCACACGCACACGCGCACGCACACGCACACGCCCACGGCCACGGCCACGGCCACGGCCACGGCCACGGCCACGGCCACGGCCACGGCCACGCCCACGCCCGCCCGCCAGAATTCTGGAATCTGATTTGTGGGTGGACACGCGCACACACACACGCCCCGCCCCGCCCCGCCCCGCCCCGCCCGCCCCCCCGCCCCGCCCGCCCCGCCCCCCCCCGCCCCGCCCCGCCCCGCCCCGCCCCGCCCCGCCAGGGGCGGATAACTGCGATCATGCCACAAAACCCCATTCACTTTCAATTGTACACTCGTTGCCCGATTGCTCTTTCTCTACGATGCTATTTCTTTCACAGGGCTGAACGCTTTGACCAAATGCGGCGCTCGCTTTTGGCGGAGCTCGCGAAACCTTGCGATGCAGATGGTCAAGGTGCCAAAACTATCACTGCACATTTTAAGCGGACCTGAAATACTGAAAAGGAATGCTTCGTTCCTGGTGAGCATTTCGGCTGAGCCGGAAGGGACGGGCATTCAACTCGCCAAGGCTAGGGTTGGCGAAAACAAGGCGCTCTGGAAGCCCTAGTGTCCCGAAACATTGTGGAGACCTGGGGCGAGCCTGTTGCTCCGAGCCCTTCATCCAGTCCCGGGGGTTCAAATGAAAGACCATTGAGCCAGTTGCGTAAGGTCTGGTACTGAACCAAACGCAAAGGGGAAGAAGGTGCTGAACAACGTTGACCCTTTGCGGGTCCAAACCCCCAGGCCTCGCGTGCAGGCGTGCACCGCTGCACTGCAATGGACATTGCTGCTGCGCAAGCGCTCCTGACTTTCCAAAGGCCAAAGTCTCGAGCGACTCGCTGAGGTCCCTATGCTCAGCGTTGGTCATTGAGTTGCTTACTGCCGTCAGTTGCGGGTCCCCGTTGACGCAAATAGTTGCCGTTTGAATTCGGCTCATGAAACGTTTGGTGTTGGGCCACCGCGGCAAAATCGCCGGCGCCGTTGCGACTTGCAGTATGCTAACTTAAGAGGGTGGAACCTCAACCTCCAAGAACAATAGCTACGCGGCCCCTGAACCATATTTTCCCTTTTAGCTTCGGGGGACGCCGGACACCAATCATATTATATGAAACACATAAGGGGTAGAGTTCCCCGGCTCTCCACATCGTCTCCACATCAAACCCGCACGTGCGCATGTGTGTGTCTCCCATCCCTTCTCTGGAGTGGTGCCTTGTCACCACCTGTCCTCAAAGCGGAGAACGAAACAAACACAGAGCAACTCCTCTGAAGAAAGCTTTGGTAATTTCAGGTTGAAGGCTTCTGCAGATGTTGCATATGCTTGGTTGAATCTAGTTCATTGTTGGGCGACTCGGTGTTTCTTTTAAGAGAGTTCTCTTGACAAGACAGCAGGAAGCCCTTCAAAAAACCTGCATATTTATTATGCATACACAGAGATAATATATATATATATATATGGTCCCGTGTTCCGTGTTGCTACCCCCCCCCCCCCATATGGTATGGGTCCCCCAGGCCCCCCCCCCCTGCACTGGCCCGAGACCCCGAGCCCCCGGATCCTGGCACCTACGGTCCCACCCCCACCCCGACCCCCTGAACTCGCACCCCGACACCCCGGCACCCCCACCCCCAGGACAAGCCAACCCACAACCAACCATAAACCAACCCTAAACTAACCCTAAACCAACCCTAAATACACCCTAAACCAAACCCTAAACCGTAGACCTCTAAACCTAAACCAACCCTAAATCAACATAAACCAACCCTAAACTAACCCTAAACCATCCCCAAATACACCCTAAACCAATCCCTAAACAATAAACCCTAAGCCTAAGCCAACCCGAAACCAACCCTAAACTAGCCCTAAACCAACCCTAAATACACCCTAAACCAAGCCCTAAACCAAACCCTAAACCGTACACCTCTAAACCTAAACCAACCCTAAACCAACAACATAAACCAACCCTACACCAACCCTAAACTAACCCTAAATACACCCTAAATATACCCTAAACCATTTCTAAACCAACCCTAAACCACCACAACCCAACCACAGGACCACAATCACAGGGGGAGGTACTTGTCTGACCCATGACAATTGGGGGTGGGGAGGGGAGGGGCTGGCAACGGTGTACCATATATATATATATATACATATGCACCCCCCCCTCCAAAACCCAGGTGTTGAACCTGGACAATTGCCAAAATCACTGGACAAAATGCTACTTTTGAGAAACATGTGTAATTTCGCCTCTGCGAAACGCGAATTTTCAAGTTCAAGCAGTAAGTGTTGGCAAGTTCAATCAGTTAGTCAAACAAACAGTCAGCAAGTCAGCTAATTAGTCAGTTAAATAGTTGTAATGAATTAGCTCTGAAGCCAGTTAGCTGGTTACTTGGCTACTCAGTTAGTTATCTATTTAGCTGCCTATTTAGTTAGATAATACTGAAAGTATTCCCCTAATATTCCCCTTCCTGTACTAGTGAAACATGTGGGGAACACTAGGGGGGTAGTGAGGAACACTAGGGGTATACCAAGAGAATACTAAAGGAATACTAGGGCAATACAAGGGGAATGCTAGGGCAATACTAGGTACATACTCAGGGAATACTAGGGCAATATTAAAGGTGAATACTAGGATAATACGTGGGAATACTGAGGGAATACTAGGGGTATACTCTCAAGCTCAATCTGTCTGACTTCTCTCAGGCTTCCTGACTAGGGCAATACTAGGGAAGTACTAGGGGAATACTATAAGTGAATACTGAAAGAATTCTAGGAGAATACTGAGAGAAAACTAGGGGTGTACCAACATAATCCCCTAGTAATTCCATCCCTTTACTAAGAGAATACTATGGGGTAGTGAGGAAATACTAGGGATATACCAAGAGACTACTAAATTTTCTGAATACTGGGGCAATAATAGGGAATACTAGGGCAATCATAAGGCAATACTAAGGAAATACTCAGCGAACACTAGGGCAACATTCAAGGTGAACACTAGGATAATACTAGGGGAATTTCTGAGGGAACTAGGGGTATACCAAGATAATATTTAAGGAATACCACAGCAATACTAAAGGTATTCCCCTAGCAATTCCATCCCTTTACTAGGGGAAATAGCAGGGAATACTATGGGGTAGTCAGGAAATACTAGGGGTATACCAAGAGACTACTGAATTAACTGAATACTAGGGCAATAATAGGGGAATACTAGGGCAATAATAGGGGAATACATGCTAAGGACATAGAGCCCTGTACAATTCACTGGGACCCAAAGGTCATTTAGAGGAAATGCCCCTGAAAACGCTGTATTTCTGTGGTCTCCAATGTTGATCTGCAAGGGTGAGTCCTTGCGTTAAGATCATGCTGGTCTCACTGGCTGCTCAGGGAATACTAGGGCAATATTAAAGGTGAACACTAGGAGAATACTAGGGGAATTCTGAGAGAATACTTGGGGTATACCAAGAGAATACTTAAGGAATACTAGGGCAATACTGAAGGTATTCCCCTAGTATGACACTTCCCTTACTAGGAAATACTCGGGCATACCAAGAGAATACTAGAGGCATACCAGGGCAATACTAGGGAAATACTCAAGGAAGACTAGGGCAATATTAAAGGTGAACACTAGGATAATGGAATGCTGAGGAAATACGAGGCTCAATTTGTCTGACCTCTCATGTTTCCTGGCTAGGGCACTAGGACAATACTTGGGGAATACTCAGAAAATACTAGGGGAGTAATAAAGGTGAATACTCGGCGAAAACTGAAAACATGAAAAAACTGGAAAAAATGAAAAAATCGGAAAAAACTGGAAACACACTGAACATAAACTGAACAAAAACTGAAAAACTGAAAAACACGGAAAACAACTAAAAAACCAAAAACAAATATATAAAAAACAACAAAAACAAAAACAACTGACCAAAACTGAAAAAACTGAAAACAAAGGATTCAGGGGGACATGCCTGGGGGGGCCCCCATGTCCCCCTGAATCCTTGGTTTTTCAGTGTTTGCAGTTTCTTCAGTTTTTTGTTCAGTTGTTTGTTAAGTATTTTTCAGTTTCCAGAGCGCTTCCTTAGATGCCCTTTCGCAATCATAGTGCTTTGTTGCTTAGACAATACTAGGGGAATAATAAAGGTGAATACTAGGATAAAACTGAAAATGAATCCTTGGTTTTTCAGTTTTTCCAGTTTTTCCAGTTTTTGTTCGGTTTCCAAAGCGCTTCCTTGAAGAGATGCCCTTACGCAATCATAGTACTTGGTTGCAGCATTGGCTGCCAAATGAGAGGCTTTTGACAGATGCAGACAGTGGGCCTGAAAAGTGTGTGTTCTGGCAGATGCAGGTTTTGGTGACAAAGCACTGTAAATACCAATGTGCTCTCACAAGACCTGGGTTTCTGGGGAGTACCTTATATATATATATGTATATATGTATATACATATATATATATATATCCACGTGTATATATCCACGTGGTACTCCCCCCAAGGCGCGTTAGTTCACCCACGCTGTTTGGAACCAAAGCCCAGCTTTGCCTCTTGAAGTCGCGCCAGCAAGACCAGCGCCAGTTGCCAGCACCCACCTGGCAAGCCCAAAGGCGGTTTGAAACCGCTAAAGCTGCGTCACAAGCCAGGCCTCGCCCGCCTTACACTGTCCAGTCGGGAAACTGTTTGGTCTGACACATACATTACATGTTTATATACATGTATTCACCAGTATATATATATATATGGATATATGGATATATATATATATATACATATGTATATATATATATACATATCTATAATATAATATAATACAATATGATATAATATATTATAATATAATATAATATATTATAATATATAATATAATATAATATAATATAATATAGTATAATATAATATAATATAATATGTGTGGGTGTACTCAGATGCCCCTCCCTCAATTTCCCTTTTTGCATCCTGAAGGACACACACCCTTTTTGGAACGGAATTCAAGCTTAAACTCTCAACATAGACATTCAAATTCAGTTCTTCCTTTCTTACATTCTATGTACATTATATTTGATGTTTGTTAACAAACTTGGTTCAGTTGCTCATTCAGCTGCTCGGCTTTTCTTCCTCAGGTCTTCAGTCATCGCCGCTTGAACGATTCATGGTTTGCGCAACATTCGGATCATTCGTTCTCAAGCGCCCCCTAATACAACTGGAGTTGGGGACGAGATCTACAGGCCACGACAAATCATGCTGAACATGCCAAGCACGTAGAATACTCATGGACAAAGAAACACAGAATGCGCCTTCATCAACTGCTCCGTCAAGCGATGCATTCTGCGTAGCTCCTTGATTCATTGGCCTCTCAATTAGTCTTGGATTTGCAGTCTTGCTTGGGATGATAACGCCAACATTGCATGACACCTCACCAAAACATGATCCGTTTCCTATCACAACTGAATCAACATTGGACTATCGCAAGGCACTGGGATCAGGTTTTGTTTGGTTCACCCGCGTAGATTTAGTAGACAAAACAATCTGGGGTTCCAAATTTCCCTTAGTTGGACCATGGTCGAAATGCAGCCCCAAACTCTGTTGCAGTCCACCATTCATCCCCATGTGCCACCGTACAACTATAGTCTAGTCGACGTGACTCTCCCAAGGAGCCATGCGACGACCTGGCTGAGTTGGCTGGGAGAAGCTGAAACTCTTGGGAACTCCAAACTACCAAACATATGAAAGCTTAATTCGGCAAGTGCTCCCAACGTGGAATTCCACCGGTGCGTGCGCCGCGCGCTCCGCGCGGCTCGCGACTTGTTCTGCCTGCGGCGCAGGCCGAAATCGCCGCGCCGAAGGTGACAGTGCTGGGCAGCAGTTCTCCATCCAACAACTCCTTGGAGCCGGACCGAAGAAACGGAACCGCAAGGCCAAACCTGTTGCTTTGCCACGACTTCATGGCTTTTCCCATCAGTATAAAGGAACTCAGGGAGTGAGGAAACCCGAAACCCATCCGTTCTTAGGATCGGAACCTCCTTTTGAACAGAAAGGACCGCAGTTTGGGGTTCCGTGTCAATTAGCAGGGGAGAAAGAGCTACAACATGGACCAAAGAAACATAATCAAACGCTTCAAAGCCGATTCTCCTTGGGAAAACGGAAACCGATCCACCGTTGGGGCTAGACCATGATAAACAATTCTATGCGCCTGAGCCAAGCATCTGTACATTCCAAACCAACAGCACATTCCAAACTAGACAAGGCTGAAACGAAGTCGTTGCCCCTCGGAGAACAACTGTTGGCATCAGTAATCATTTGAGTGAGGTAAACCACGAGTTGCTGCCGACCTTGCGCCGCCTCGCCTTGACAAGCATAAGCGCCTTGGGCGAACCGTTTGAACTCATGTTTTGATGCAGCCGCAGCAGCAGCAACAGCAGCAGCTGCTCAATCTTGGCTTTGCAGGATAGCAGTGACACAACGACCAAGCCGATAAGAGACAGGCAACAGCCAGAAAACGAAACATCAAACGTTATTGCTTGCACCAAACCCTCACAACGTCGTTCTTCACTGCAACATGCAGCTCGAAGTCAACACCGTGGTAAGGACATCGCAAAGACCCCGGCCCAAGAAACCGGGAGCAAATTGCCGGATGCTGCGCTTACCGCCAAGAAGCCGAGAGCAGCTGTAGGGAGAGCTGCCACTGCTCACCTCTGACGGAATCTAGGGAACCGGGCTAAGGTCTGGAGAAAGCATTAGATTTGACATGGGATTCGTTTTGTTTCCCTTTGTGACTGGGCGATCTAGTAAGGAGCCTAGTCCCTGCATGCTTTCCAATGTGAAGGGTCGCCACTTAAATGGGAGATCACCGCGATCCCAAATCCGGGGATTATGAATCCTGCGTTTCCGTTGGTAAGTGTCCGTTGGGCCGCTTTCGAAGAGACCCATGGAATGGTTTCAGAGGACCCTCAATTCTATCTGATTCTATCTCTGACTGACCGCGTGCACAAATAGTTGGAACATGTTGGAGTGCGGCCATGAACAAGCATGGACCAAAAACCGGAATCAAGCAAATTGTCCAGAGATAGGGCCCACTTTAAGCAAGTAAAACTCGGGTTTGTTTGCAAACAGGACCACTTCAAATGGGCGGATTCGAGACCCAAAAAACAGACCCGCAACAGCAAACACCCCAACTCACAAAACAATCCCTTGCTGCGACCTACGCGTCACGACGCTCGAACACTCTCTGCTCACCTTTGGCGCAAGCGCTGATGGAGGCATTGTAGATGACCACATCCAAGGGAACATCCGTCTCTCCTTGGCGCCGTGAGATTGGAAGTTTCTCAAAACTGGTGGAACTCCATTTCGGGTGGCTTAACGGCAAGGACAGAACCCAGTTTGGGGTTCCTTATTTTGAGAAACACCCTTAAAAAGCACCAACATTGGCCAAGAAACTGTCTGCAATAAGAAACTGTCTGCAAGAGGGAATCCAGCTGTCAAATAGCAGGTCTGGACAAATCTCACACAACAAGCGCTGTGCACCCCTTTGTTGTTTTCTTTTGGGACAATTGACCAAATCAGCCCTGAGGGAATGTGCTGTTGCTCGACCGACTCAAGCAAATCCTCCAGGAGTTCCTTTACTAAGTGTGCCTCTTTGTGTCTTTTTGAGGGTGCCCTTTTTTAGGTTGGTTTAAAGGGAAACCAGAAGGTCCTTCTCACCCATGGAACACCGGTGTTTTGCGTTGGCTCGTGTGCCCGTTTTCAAAGGCTGGTCTTGGACTGTTTAGGGCCGTCGGTCCATGGCAGAAAAGCCCCAAGCGGTTGCTTTGGAGGTAGACTGATTCATCAACACTACAAAGAACATGACAATTAATCCCTGATGCCCCAGTGCTGATCAAATTCCACGAGGGTATCCAGAGACCAAGCTGAGAAACATACGACTCATCTGCCCCAAGGGTCGGTAGTTTCTATTGCTAAGGTTTCGGGAAAGGGACCAACCAATCGGCCGAGTTGACCGAGTGACAAAACCAGATCGCACACGCCAAATCAAATCTAAACACACTCATCAACATGGCCAGCAAAGGCTGTTCAACAAACTGCAAGCCAATCGCAACATGCAACAACTGAACGAACCATTGCGTAGAGAAAGAACGCCCACAAACAAACAGAACCAAGCAAAGCCACGAGGCACAAGCCACAAGCCGCACACCACAACCCCTTCAGCCAGCCAGCCAGGCAAACAGCCAGCCAGCCAATAAACGACCGTAACCAACAACGCCGAGCAAGCAAATCAAACCAACACAATGAGTGAAGTCTACCCAAACCCTTCCCCACGCCTCCATAGAAAAAAAACAACAAAAGGCAGCCCTGTTTCGCTCGATGACTTTAGGGGGAACCGAACCCCCCCAAGCCATATTGTTGGAAAAAAGGGGGGCTCTCCCCCACTGGGGTTTCTGTCTGATTCTGTCTGTAATGTTTTGGGGGCCGCTCCCTTTTTTCGACCATATCAAGGGTATCGAGCCTCACAAATCACAACCCTTTTGGATCCCCACAAGCGCGCAAAAGCGAAACCCCCTCCACAAAGGGTCGTAATGCCGCCAATTATCTAAGTCCCCCAACAAAACACATGTATTTCCAGTAGCCATAGATTCCCTTTAAAACCAACAGGGGGGAAATCAATACTCTTCCATAAGCAAACAAGGAAAGGGCACGTTGCTGTGCCAAGGCTCTGAGCAGGTGCAGTCCACGCTCCCACAGACTCCGATCGGAGCCGAGGCTGCTCAAAGCGCTGCCCAGGGAGATTTTGTCGGGCTGCAGGCCGCGGCGACGGATCCTTGTAGGCGACCCCCGCCTTTGTTGCTTTCCCGTTTTTGGGGAACTGTGTCTCTTGTTGAGGGTATTTCGACTGTAAACGCAATGTGAAACCGTGGCCGGTGTTCCACCTCCCTTTTGGTACCTTTCGTGCGGTTGTTTTAAAAGGGAGAAACCTCATGTTTGTGCCAAATCACGTCGCGGACTGATACCACTTACCACCACTCTGTGTTCGATATATTTCGGAACCTGAAAGGGGCCCCAAAATCAAGGACCTATATGGTGGCACGACTGGCCCCGGGGTGAGCTCGCCATTGAATAGAATACTTAGGGAAGGTTGCGAAATTAGGGAGCAAGTCAATGGAAAGCGCTACGTCTTAATGCCCTTTCAAGGTCCACCAAATGTTCCAGCAAAACACATGTGACCTTCCAACAAAGACTAAGACAACCCTTCACACCACAAATGCAGCAGCAACACCATGACAACCCAGCACTAACATTGGACGTCCTTCCCAGACTCCCAGACTCCCAGACTCCCAGGTCCTGCCAAGCACATGCAGCGCTGGTGCCCAGGCGGCGGAGCGCTCGCCTGAAGCTGTCCGAGAAACCAATAAAGCCAAACCCGAAATAACAAAAAAATCCTTTTGATTCCGAACCAACAAGATGATTGAAATTGATCCATGTTCAGAGAACCTTACAAAGCAACATATGTTCAAACGGATTCTTACCAAGGTGTTGTTGTTCTGAGAGTTGTGAGGTGTATGTTCATATTGGGCAGCGTTTGACATGTTAAAAGAGATAATTTAAAGGCGTTGCGCTATTCCGAGGTCAGCCCTTCACGCGCCAAGCTGTGTGTTCGCAATTCTTCGGGTCAAACAGGCCTCCGCAGGCGTGTCTGCGGAGAAAACACATTGGAAACGGAACAAAGCTTTGTAGGCGGGCTCAACTTCAACAACACGCTTCCGGCATTCAGTCTTCCAAAAACCAGCGATTGAGAGGTGTCACGGTCGCCTGATTTTTGACATTGGCGCGGCGCGCAATGAAAGCTGAATACGCGGTCGGGTCAGGCCGTTTCCAAACATCCCTTATCCAACCCTTGTCCAGCCCTTATCTCACCCGTATCCATTAGCACATGATAAGACCAATAGACCCCCCCTGAGAAAAAGTCGGGCTCCGCAAATGAGGCCCCATTGAGCCTCTAGTACCGCCTTCAGGGAAGTTCAAAGGGGTACGCTTGACAACGTGACAGGACAACTCCATGACATGACGTTGGATCCGACAGTTGCACAGCCATGCTGTGACAGGAAATTCACGGGGCCAACACCCTGATCAAACCTCCGTTGTGCAAAACTTTGAGGGCCATGGTGTTTTGTTCAGTCCAATTCGGGCCATGCCTCAAAACACCCAAGAAACAACTCAAGCGGCGTTGGAAGCGTCAACCCGTGAGTAACCGGTCGTCGGCGCTTTCGAGGGCTTTTGTTTATCCCTGGACTACAAATGACGGATACTATTGACTGTTGCTCAGGTAAGCCTTTTGGCTATCCACATACCTGGGGAAGCAATACAAGACGCTCGTATGTGAAGGCTCCATTCAATACCCTCAGTTTGAGTAGGCGGCCCTCCATGCCAAAGCAGGCGTCATGGCTCTGTTCACCTGTTCTAGGAATCCAATGGTACGCCTGAACATACACACACACACACACACACACACACACACACACACACGCACATGCAGCGCATATATATATATATGTACATACATATATATATATACACATCCATGGCCCCATGTATTCACTCTTGGTCACTGGTAGTCAGTATTGTGCTTGCCATGGCTGCCCTTACCATGGCTCTGCATCAGTAATGGGACAATGTACAACTTTACTGCCTAAGATGTGTCACTTTCTTTTGGACATCAACAGGCACGCTATGGATCACTGCAGTTCCAAGCTGCAGCTGCTGATGACCGCGTTGAGGACGTAAAGCCGGCTCCGCCTGACGGGTAAATTGGCAGATTCTGCTGCGCATTGCGACCCTTGGAACCTTGGGTGCAATCGGACACCCTCTGGCTGAACCTGTTCAACAGGTTTCCTGAGTTTGTGGTTCGCTGATCCGTTCTCGGTACACCAAAATAAAACTTAGATAGCACAATTCCCTTGATGAGTCAAGGGAACGACACGGGAATTCTGCCGTAGCTTCCACGGTCGGACCACTCCTTGGAACTTGGACATCGGCAAGGAGCAGTGCGGCACGCCACCCGGAATCCTGGGCTTACCGAAGGAACAGCTCAGGCTTTGAAACATCCTTTGTGAACGTGATCCTGGACTAGTGGCAAGACCCCACTTTTCCCTTGTCCTTTGGGTGACATTGGGACTCGCTGGGTTTTGGATGGCCTTGAAGACCGGAAGGAAACCCACCAGTCACCATTATTTTGCAACCCCAATAACATGAAGGTTCAACTTGGCCAGTAGAAACCCAATGGTCTCAAACATGATGACAAGCCCGTGGTTGAGGATACTGATGCGGCCTTCACTCATTTTCTTGGGTGCAACACTGATTGTTTGACGGAGGACAGGAGAAACATCCAAGATGGCCAAATCCTCATGCACTGAACAAGTCGTCCGAAACCTTAAGCTTACTTGCAAGCCAACAGTTTCCAACTAAAGGCTAGCCACACCATACGTCTTCAGACCACACGAGGGTTACTCAGCTGGGTCTCCACGAGCTTAAGGCCTGCCACACATAAAACCATCCATTCGAGAGCTTCAATCATCTACCCGGAAAAACATCTCCTGACCCTCGTCATTTCATCCCCTCAGGTACGGCTCGGTCGCCCTTGAAGGCTGCTTGGGTCAAAATCACCAATAGTCTGTGGCGATGTTCAAGGTCAACAAGGTTCAGTTCCCAGCTGGGCCAGACTTATATAGACCTGGGAAAAAGAACGTTTTGCTGGTAGGAGAAAATGAAGGAAACCGACAAATGTAAAAAAAAAGGCAAGCTAAGTCTGATGCGAGCATTGGCATAGGACCAGGATCTTGGCAAATTGATGGCCTTTGGGAAATCCTGATGCCTTTGTTCCGGACAGGTAGCGTGGGTAGCGTGGGGAGAGAAAGGAATCCTACGCTAGCGCCCCATTGGGATTTTCCTGCGAGCTCTGGGTCCTGAATGGCTCTCACCACCTGCAGGCCATCCTTCTCCATGCGCCATGGCTGTTGCCCCAGGCTGTTGGTTGGGCGCTTTGGGAAGCTCTCTGGAGAGCTTCAACATTCAACGGATCCAAACTTACTTCAAACGGGATCTTCGAATCAGTCCTTGCGAGCTTGATAGACATTGCAAGGGCTAGAATAGGCAGCTAGGAGGCAGCTTGGGCTGAGTGGGCTGGGTGGGCTGGAGCTGGGTCAGTGCGTCACTGGTCACTGGGTCGGTGGGTGGCTGGGTGGGTCAACAGTGAGATGATGTCCCGATCTTTCATGCACAGGAATTTGCAAAGCATGAGGCTAGGGCAGGTGCACTGCTTTGGAGGCGCTTTGGGCTCCAGTCTTCAGCCCAATCCGCGCACCCAGGCATGGGGAAGCAATGGCGATCAGCTTCAGAAGACGGTTGAAAGGGGCTTAGAGCAAGCCATCGAACTAATAGCCCATTCAAAGTCTGCAGTTTCATCTAATTGCCCCCTTTCCAACAATCGCGGAAGTGGACTAGGAGATTTCTTCAGGATAGCTATTTTGAATGGAATGCGATTCAAGGTTCTCCGAAACAAACCAACCAGCCAGCCAGCCAGCCAGCCAGCCAGCCAGCCAGCCAGCCAGCCAGCCAGCCAGCCAGCCAACCAACCAACCAACCAACCAACCAAACAACCATGCTGCCCTGAAAGAAACATGTTGGTTGCCTCGTAAACACAGCACCTGGCAAGCCAATCCTGGCTTGAACCCTTTGTTCGGGACCTGCATCAAACAAGACGGTGACAGCAGGCAAACACGCCGATGCCAAGGTGTAAAGGCACGTGGCAGTCTGTCCTCTTGGAAGAGGTGTAGCACAACATGCATTGCCTTGAACACGGGAGACATGAAGAACAAATGTGAAAGCAGTATCCATACAACTCGAACTCGCGGGAAGACGACATCTTGCAACATTTGTGACAAGTGTCCATCTACGCAACTTGGGATCCCCAAGACAATGGGCAAAATGACAGCTACAGGGGGGGAAACGCTGTTCAATATGTTCTGGGGGATCTAGGGAAAAGCTCCATGACAGGAACACATCCTGTATGGCTCTTCCCAGACTCCTTGCTGCCGTTTGATGAGCCAATTCATCACCGGGTGGCTTGGGCTAGAAAGGTGGAGCATGGCCAGCTGCCAAGAACAGAGCTTGGAAGCGGCAAGTGGCGATGAACGCGTGTGTTTGGCAAATCACGGTCATGAATGAATCACAGTGTCACATCCAAATTGCAAGAAACGTTGGCATGAGTCATGAGGGTCTAGCCTCTGTCCAAGAATCAAGCAAGTGGGAACGTTTGGCCTTGGCAAAAGGGTGATCCAAATTTCTGTCCACTTCCCTTGGAAAGAAAAAACGCCGGAGGTGCTGCGGGCTTTTCTTTCTGCCAAGGGAAGGGGCTGCGAATCGCGCCCTTTCTCAACGTCGCGCTGGCATCCGCATGCGGGCCCGGCATTCCGAGCCCGGGGGGCAACTTCACTCCAGATTCCCCATCAAATCAGAAGGTAAATGGTGCTTTGATAAAGTGGCAGATGAAGGAGGATAAGGTCTGTGCCTGAAATTGCATGTTCAAGACACCACGAGGTTACAGAATCTGCAGGATTCCCCACGCGAATAATTCTCCTGACCCCAAAAGGAACCATTGCTTGAAGGCCCAGGAACCCCAAAAGTGGCACTTGTTTCTGGCGAAGACAGGGGCCTTGGGGCTTCAAGCCACCTGAACTCGCATGTGTGGCGCGCGCCTCCCGTCGCCTGCGCACCAATAACCGTTACACAAGCACGTGGCAACCTGCCGCACATGGAGTGGACCTCAACCGCCATTGAACAAGTCCGCGTACAAGCTTGCAAAGGGTGTTCCTCGGGTGTCTTTCAATGCCGACCCCCCAATTCCATCCCCTTAGTCTAGTTGTCAAACTGGTGGAACCCGTTTTGGTTGGTATTGAAAGGGCAACAAAAGGAACCTTTCTATGGGACTTTTATTTTGCGAACCCCCCGACAGAGGAGTGAACACCAAGCTGGCACACCACTCCCGTGAAGCACCCGGAGCTTTGAATTTGGCACATCGAATTTTCACATGGCCGGGACATCGGATCCACAACGAAATGGACGAGCCGCCGCTGTTGCGTGCCAAAAGGGACCTGCTTTGGGGTTAACCAGCATGAGACAAGGCAGTTGCAGGCGTCTCATCTTTCAATCATTGCCATGTACCTTGTTTTTTGCGTAGCGCAGATTGCAAAGGGTCTCTCGATCCTTCCCGACCATGTCATGTCGCTCACTAAAGCTACAACCCGTTGGACCATGTTTATTGCAGTCACTGCAGAAAGTCAGTAGGTCATGGAGGGATGGAGGCTCAACAAGGATCCGCACACTCCTTGCTTCTTGAGCCCACTCGAACGTGTTTCTTACTTAAAAGTGATCTTCCCAAGCAGTACCACGTCCAAACAGGAAAATGAGACTCCAGCCCAGTACCAGGGCACACGCCGTTCGGTATCCTCCCATGCAGTGAAACCCACCTTTGCTTGATGTTTGGGGCATGGGCTCCATCCTTCCGTCTGACTACGGACTACGGACTGCGCCATTTTCCGAAACGCGGACGGGGGTGAACTGCTCCTGCGGCGCGTGAGGCCCGATCTGAACTCTGCAAGGCCACCTAAGGGACCGGTAGAGGGTCTATTGAAGTGACGTTCTCAACAGAGACACCCAGCCTAAAGAGAATCCCTCAACATGCTTACTTTCATGGCCTCACCCTCAAAGACTTCCAACTCAAGCCCCCATGCTTTCCGGTGACCCAGGTCACTCAAAAGGGGGCCAAAGAGATGCGCCAAGATTCTTGGTCCCCCGGGTCTTGTAATTGCATCGTTCTCCGGGTAGAAGCCCCATCCGTTGCATCACCAACAAAGATCGTCCAAACCGACAAGCTCATTCCTGTATCACAGCCTGCAACACCCGTTCAGCGAAAGCATCACCAGCATCATGAGCTCCCCCACAGGGATCCCGCATGTGAATTGCGATTCTCGGTCAGAGTAAGGATTGTCCTTTGTTCACATGAGCGACAGGCAATATGCATTGTGTGACCAGCTGACATGGGTTACATGGGTTTTTGGCGAGTAAGCTCCATTTTCTCACGGTGATTTGCAAAGTATACCCAATATAATTCCCTTTGTTGCAGTAGATGCTGGTGAACATAGGCCGTTGCTTACATAAACCAATGTCAGAGTAACCTCCGGGTGAGGCTCGGCCTGATGTGCTCTGACCTCTTCACTCTTTGGCACGTTTCACTAGTTGTCCAAGACAACGAGTGCCTGAAGCCACCCAGGTATGAGGTACCCCAGAGGCATGGACAAAGCTCCCAGCTTTACACATCTAAAGGACGAAACCCGGGGGCGCTATGAGGATCAATCTTTCGTTAGACGCAAGACAGGTGGGGCACGCAACTTTCTGGGATGCGCCTCGCCTCTGCTGAGCTGGAAGTGCTCTTCTTGTGTCAACATCGGTTAGAACAAATGCAATTTAAATGAACCCCAGAAGAACATGTTTCCAGTTCAAAATCCATGAACCAGCAGGAACTTCTGCAGGAAATAGGGCTTCCTGCAGAATTCCCCTTTCTGCGGGAATCTTAGAAAAACCGTTTGGCTGGTTGAACACAAGGTGCCTGCCCAACCCAAATTCAAGGCGGGCTGGGGCTCCGCACCCCCTGTCACCCCATATCGCGGCCGTGCAGAGGGGTGGCTTGTACCACTGAGCCGCAAAGGACCCGCCCCGGTCATTACAGGACATGTCAGCCGTCAATATTCTTTGCAACCCCCCCACTGGAATTTGGTGAGAAACCCACCTCCTTCTCGTGGTGGGGTGGACCAGGGGAAATTAACACCCCATGGCGACAGAGACATGCGTCACAGGCTGGAGAATGCTTCGTTCATTACCACATCACACCCAGACCCTGGGAAGGATCTCGAATCACCTTGAAACGGTTGCGGCTGTGTCTCCAATCCAAAAGGGGGGGCCAAAACAACCCCAAAACGGTTCTGTATCCCACCTCCAAATGAACCAATGAACTCGCATGATTCTATATAAAACGGGTGGTTTTACCCTAGTTCAGTACCCTTCGAATACAAACAAAATGAGGGTTGTGTGTCAACCTTCTTCAACCAGGCGGTCTTGTCATGGCATCGGTGCGGCACATGTCCTGCTGGCGAGCATGCAACCTGTTGTCCTCAAAAGGAAAGTGGCTGGAGGGTTAAAAGGAAGCCCTTTCAGATCAGCATGGAACCCAAATGTATCATTCATAGAGGGATTCGGTCTTGAGGAAGTGACCTGTTTTGGAGTACGTTGATTTGCAAAGGGCACTGTTTTCCTCGGGGTGGGAAACACACACACACATGTGCACACACACACACATTTTCTCAAGTACTGGGCAATCCAAGCCATCCGCTGTTTCCACCAGATGGGATATGATTGCCCTATGTTCAACCATCGCCCTATTCAAAGCGTATTGTGTCTCCCATCTTTTTCGGTGCCCGGGCCTTTTGCTATGCCACCAGCTTTAGGCCTTGTCCATAAGTTCCCACAACTTGGCCCATGCATGGGCTACGCAGAAATACGATTTCAGACTCATATTTCACCCAGGTGTGTCATTCAACCGCTTGCCATTCCGTGCCGCCGTTCGGGCGGGTATTGAGTCGATTGCGGGCAAAGAGAGGTGTCAACTGTACTCGACTTGACAACGGCAAGGATTTCGACGTGGGAAGGATCTCACATACCCGTGCTTAGAGTTAGGCCCAGTCATAGAATATATGTATAAATATATGTATATATATATATGTGTATATATATATATATATTGTTGTTTGCTTCCCAGTACCGCAGGTTGTCATCTCTGAGCCACACTTTGGTGGCGCGTTTTCGGACGCGGGCAGCGCAGCCAGGAACTGGTTGGATCGGATTCCCCCGCCAAAAAGATATAGCTTGGGCGTTAAATGAGCCTCCGACAAAAAGGTTCCATGAAATCAACCCAAACCATGTCCTTTGTTTGCAGGGAAATGGAAGGCGATGTTCCTGTGGCTTTCTTTCGGGAAATCAAATGTTAACAACACCAAATAGTTGGCAACCACCGGCCCGCGGGGCTTTCGGTACAATATAAGCAAAACGCTTTGTCTCCTGGTAAGCTGGTTGAATCGTTGAAATTCCTTCTGTCATGCTTTGCGTTGTGGGGAGGCTGTTCAAATTTGCCCAGTGACCGGGACAAAGATCTAGGTCAGTCAGCTACTGTTGACAGGCCGCGGGCGTGAGCAAATCGTAAGAATTGGGGTCAGGTAGCCGCGGCTCGTAGAAGCACACTGAACTGTTCACAAGAATGGGTGCTTTTTACAAGGGAACAAACCAGCAATTCCAAGATGCAGACCTTGGTGCGTCGGCATCTCCTTGCGAGAGGATCTGATTACCACCACAAGCTGCCCACGAAGTAGCTCGCAAGTGTTTGGATTTGGCTCGGCAGGTTGGTCCTTGGTGTCTCATGCCCCCAAACAACCCAGAAAACCTACAAAGGGCCTTGGCAGCCATGACTGAGGAGCCTTTTAAGAGAACCCCAACAGGTTCGGTTACCTATGAATGGGGTCCATGGGCTCAAGCTGCACCTATGGCCACGGTCGAATCGCGCGTATCTCCCGGTCCCCATCGCTGCGCTACTCGGGGCTCTCGGCGCTCTCAGATAGGCTGTCAGCCTGATCCCGTGCTTAAACAAGAGGATACGGACCTATACATATCGTGCATAAAAAGTCCGCTTGATTCAATAAGAACCTACAGGTGTTACACTGATCACGCGTAAGGGGTCCAACTCCCTGTTTAGGATGCACCCAAGCCACGGAAAAGCTGGTCTTCTTTGGCCCAACACTTTGCCAGCAAACACAGCGAAGTAGTCGTCAAGGGACGCCGGTTTCATGCTGAAATTGGCCCTCTGCGATGCTTGAACATGCCACATCCGAAGTGAAACAAGGCATGCTAGAAGACCTGCAGCCAGCGGTTGGTTCCAGGCAGCGTGCCATAGATTGGCATGAATGCGCGACTGCCCTGTTCTCTCTTAAGATTACGTTCTTCAAGCTTGTTTTTGTTTACCCCCTGCCCAAACCACTTATAACTTTTTACGGGTTAGTGGGACTAGCCAAATTCACCCAACAAATTAAAGCTTAAGGCTCCAAGCCAATAGCATACATGTTTAGTCCCCGACGCGTCTTTCCCGTGAGCCTTGTCTTTGACCTCGGACCGCGCATCCTGGGCCTCGCGCTGAATGCGGGAGGCCGTTGCTTTGGTGTGGTTGTCCTCAAGTTTCGATTTAAAACCCTCCATTTTGGTGCTCACTACTTTGGTAATCACTAGTACTGGAACGATCCATTATGTCCCTTGCGGTCCTGAGGTCTTAGGGTTGGTTAAACAAATGCGCCTTGGTTTAGGACACGCTTTTGAATTCCGATGCCTGGCTCCAGCAGCGAGCCAAGAAGGTGCCTCTTGTGGTACGAGACCGAGGCAACCCATCGAACACATCAAAGATCAACAACAAGGAGCAATTTGAACAAGGTGTTTCGACATACTTAAACAGTAAGTTTTGGGCCAGACTTTGCAGGTCGATCAGGCGTCATCATCGTAATTCGCTGCACTCGCTGCGTCGTTCTGCGACTGGATGCCCGAAAGAAGGAAACAAGGTTGGCCCACAACAACACTGTGTTAGTCTACAATCCCTGCAAAAGGCTCAACATGTTTCTGCTCAGCGGAGAAAACGTATTTTTCAATTTTCGAACATGTCATAGGACAGGAGGTTCAAATTCCAAGTGACGGCCCAGACAGGGATCCCTGATTCTGGAGGACTGTTAAGGGGACTTTCTGGTGGCTTTCATGCTAGTTGGCGAGAGGGTAGTTCACAAAAGATAATCCTGATCAGCTAAGGCGAGGCGCGCTGCTCGAAGCAGCACTGAGATTTCTTCCAAACACCCTGGCCCCTGACACAGCTTTGAGTGGCTTCTGGCACGAGTGCTGGTCTGCATTCGTTGGAGGCAGCGAATTTGGCATGCAACTGGTCTTGGATCACTTCCAACAGCTTGACAGTTGCTGTGCAAGAAGCTGTACTAGACAGGCAGTAAGCAAACTGAGCGCCCATTCAATTGGTTAGTTTCTTGCAGGTGTTTTCTTTCCGGTGTTCATTCTAACTGTCACAAATGACGGATCACAAAAAAGCCATTGTCGGGGTTGTTCGAACAAAACCTGGAAACGTCCCTTTTGCAAGTCGAAGGGCTATGGCCCACTTTGGTCCGTTCGCGTTCCTTCTTGCGGATGTTGTTGGTGAGACTCGGATTTCGACGGCGCAACTCCACGAAACAACCTGCTATCTTGCCACCAGCAGCGAGAACACAAAAAGCACATAATGTGTTCGTTGTCCGTATTCGTTCTCTTTCAATCCTTAGGCATCATGGTCATCATCAAAGATAATGCAAGTACGCGCCGAAGCACAAACAAACAAAGAATAAAGATGTGCAAACAACAAGACAAGCAAACGCACAACACAGAAACAACGAAACCATGATGTTGGCCAGCCTTCGCGTACAAACATGAAACCCTTTTGGGGTTGATAATTGTGGGGAAGCCACCAAACAAAAAGGCAACACGCGTGCCACGGGATGTAGACTATGGATAAACTTCCCCTTAACAGGAATCCAACCATCTTGAGCGGTTTGCTTTCAGAACCCAAAGTCTGAATTCAAGCCCGCAGCTCGCCTTCTCCTTGTCCGCCGAGAACTGACTCCTTCCGGGCAGTCGATCAAATCGGCATACACAGAAAGAAACCCATGCAGTCACCAAGAGACACAGTTCTCCACAACCATTTGTCCTCAAGCCCGCCTTTTGAATTATCCTCCATGGGCTTCAAGAGGTGTTGCTTGGCAAGCCAACGGCAGGAAACTCGCCTAAAAGGTCCTCCAATTGCCGAGAGCGCACTGAGCCCTACTTGCTCACCAACCAGACGCGCACCATTGAGCATGATACAAACATGTAGAAAACGAACTGGGGTTGTGGCAATCATCATAATGTCGCCAAACACTCCCTTGCCGGGCTTCCTAGCCGAATCTATGTGCAAATTGAACCACCTTAACTTCCTGGGTTGACGGGCGTCTGTCATTGAAACTTGGCTTCGCAAATGTCTGCCACTTACTCTCGGCGCACTATGGAAGGGACACAAGAGCGATGCTACGAGCCACAGCAGGGTTCTGACAAAACCATTCTTTTGATACTAGTCCTGCAATCAGTGCCGAGCTCGGACTGATCGACCTGATATTGCTTTCGCCCAAAAGCAAAGTTCACATCTAAACGGTACGCAACAATTAAAACCAACCCAGGCTCTACACACATCCCATCCCGCATCGACCCCGCCTCAGCATGGTGTAGGTGGGGTTCTCCGGCTCAACCTCCAGGGCCTTGGCGATGTACCTGAAATCCGCACGCTCAGACGACCTCTCGAGTTCCAACTTCTATGTCCCAAAACCGGCAAATCATGTTGCACATGTTTTTCGCCCGTATTCAACAGAATCCTGCCGAAACACATGGGTGTGTCTTAAAATAGGGGAGACCAAGAATGGTTAGTGTCCTTCTCTCTTCCCTCCAAAACCAATCCAAAAGGGGCCCCTCAAAAAGGACAAACCCACATCTTGAAATCATGGCAGAGGGAGGAAAGAACAGAAAGCCTAGCACTACATGAAGCGCACTCCAATGCTTTGTCCCTCTCGTGGAGGTAGGCATGAAGCGTTGCCAAGTTGGCAAAGCAGACCTGGGCCGGGGATAATTTGACCTGCCGGATTCTGTGCTGGTTATGCGTCTGTGACTTGCGGATGGTACACTTGTTGGGGTGGTTTTACAGGAAAGCTGAAACCACCATTTTGGGGTGTCCATCTATTCCAACTTGCCCAAGGTTGAAGCCGAACCATGGCACGTGCCATGAAAATAGATGGCCATTCATGAAATCGACCTTCTTTGAATGGCTGTCTAAAACCTTGTCAGTAGTGAACATGCCAACCTTCACTCGAAACCATTAAGTCTGGAGACTCTTCAAAAGCAGAGTCAAAGCTTCCAACGTGCTTTGCAACCTGGCCACTATATTTAATGTTCCACGATTGTCAAGGGTAATCACTTCCTCAACGCACCCTACCTGTTGCTTTTCCAAACCCATTTCCCAGATTAGCCACCAGCAAGTTCGCGGCCGATCCCTCCAAAAACAAGGGGACACTTTAGAACCACTATGCCAAACCAATGCTAAACCAATACCAAATCAGGACCAAACCAATACTAGTCCAACACTGAACTGATACTGAACCAATATGAAACCAACACAAATGGCGCAAAAATGCATGTGCTCTGCCATTTGGATCGCCCATTTGAGTTTCGAGGGGCCTCACACAAATTCCAAGGCATCCGCATGCAAGCTGGCGTCCAATGAGACCTCAGCTGAGCGGGACGATTCGCCCCCTGGCGTTCGGGGACTACACATGACATAAGGTGTATGAGTCGTATGAGTGTGTACAAGACAATACATGTGGTTTGCTGCAGGCTGCCTGCTTCATCTTGTATCGTTTATAAAACAATTTGCGCAAATCCCAAACCACAATGAATCGGAATGAGCCAACTTGAACGCAGCTTGAGCATGTGGATTGAAATCTAAAAAGTAGCGGAACTCCCTGACAAAATAGCAAAGGAGTGGTGCAAGGGTCACGGGATAAACCGACGCACGCACACACAATTCATCACCCTCACTCTCAAACATGCTGGTAAGAGTTCCGCGCTCAGATGCAACCATACGTGTCATCACAACTCTGGGGGTCCAAAACAAACCTGTCTACGAGACTTCATTCTGCCAGAATAAAAATGACAACCAGACTGCCTTTGAACTCGAATGACAAGCCCGCCACAGAAGAGAAGCCGTCATGATTCCCTTAACATGCAACCCTCACCCTCCAACGGAAATGACTGCCATTCTCAGCGACCTTAGAGTCCGGGCGACAAACAGCCGCTAACTTGCCCAGCCTCTAACTTGGCCACTGGTTCGCTGAGCAAGAACACTTGTTGCCTTTACCCGCAAGCCACTGACAAACTGCAGTAGACACAGGCCTGTAAGCATCACCCCACCAAAACTGAAAGGTCAACAAGTCACCTATCACCCGCTGAGTGGCTGTGGAAAGCTCAGCCAGTTGCTTGTGTGCCAACAAAGGGATATGCATTCTGCGCGTTCTTGCCTGAACCCCAGCCAGCTCAGGCAAGTCCTGACACAAACACGGCTTGCCAAATGCAAGGTGCTAGAAGATCTGGGCCGGCAACGTACACTATTTGGACCTTTCCCAAGAAGTGCTGCAAGCAAAATTGAATTCATTCGACATGCTTGCTTGATGTGTCGCACACGGAAAAACAACAACAAGGGATCAACACATGGTCCTAGCACGGGGTCATACGTGGTCGCATCAACATCTTTGACGCTCCGAAGCAAAACGTGCCTCGGAGGCATGGTCTCGCCAAAGTGACAGGGAACATGTGCAGGCCGTGCCATGTTTTGCTTGTTTTGCTTCGGGGCCTAACGCAAATGGAATGGCGTCGGATGTTCTACCGGGTACCTGGACCCGGAGACGCGTCACATTGGGGTTTTCAAGCTGCGAGAACCCTCCAATCCACGAGGTTCCCCTTTAGTTCCCTCTACACCAACCCCAAAACTGGCACCCTCAAAAACAGACACAGAACGGGGTGTCTTTTGAGGGACCAAACAGAAAACCAGAGTTCTTGGGGAGACGCGGGCATTTCGCTGGGTGCCGGGCAGCACGCTGGTAGCTGTCAATGGCCTCCGGCACGCGATCCAAGGACCTCGGGTCATGGATTCCACCCTCAGGTCCAAAGGCCTTCCCCCAGCCACTTCTCAACCAAAGGCCTTACAAAAAGGCAGTAAGTCAAGGTATGGGGGGGCAAGACTTGCCGACCTCGTTTTTCAACTGCAACCAAAACAACTTGTTACCATAAAGCTCCCTGAAGAAAAAACGCGAAGTGCAACAGCTTGGGGGTGTTCACGGGATTGTGCAGCCCAAAGGAACAAGAAGGAAACTCATTCGACCTGAGCTTGCACCATTCATCCTGGGTGCCTTGGATAAAGTTGTGCCGAAAAATATCTCCCCACTTCACCTTCTCAGGCTGTGGAGGTAAGAACGGTCGCAGCTTCTGACTTGACCCACTTTCATCACACAGAGGCTTTTTGGAAGTCAGTTGCCTGCTTTTGCCAAGACCACTATTTGAGGCTCCAGGTGGAATCTAGCAGTAGTTTCCTTTCGGAGCTGCCTTGACACACCTGCACTTCGCGCCACTAGACAAGATTCAATGCCTGTCACACACGCAGAAGCCGGCTGAAAGAAGCCATTCAAAGCCCCGAATGACAAAACCCCCTCATTGGTTGCAAACAACTCTATGGATGTGCCTTTTCTGAGGGTACCCTTTTTGGGGTGGAATTGAAGGGAAGCAAAAGGAGCGCCGCCAAATTTCGAGGGTCCCCTCTTTTGAGACAATGCCATCTCCGCGTCCAAAGTGTTGCGCCCGCCCAGCTGCCCAGCAGCTCTCGGATGCTAGGACGGCCGCTGCATCGCAACGCCGAGGTGTGCCCAAACCTGATGCCAACGCTCGATAGCTTAATATGTCGATCTATAAGACATCGCAATGCCCTAGAACTAGGAACCCTGCGGTTTGGTGGTTTTACGGGTCAAGGGACACCAACCACTGTCCCACTCAGGTTGAGACATACTTGCGAGCTATAACCCCCAATTGTATATGCGGCTCTGGCACCCTTTGACAGATAAGTCCATGGTTGATTTCTGTAGGCCTTGATTTCAACCCGATAACTCAAGCAAGAAAAACACACACACACACACACACCCACCCACCCACCCACCCACCCACCCACCCACCCACCCACCCACCCACCCACCCACCCACCCACGCACGCACGCACGCACGCACGCACGCACGCACGCACGCACGCACGCACGCACGCACACACGCACGCACGCACGCACGCACGCACGCACGCACGCACGCACGCAAACACACTCCACGACTTAGCTTCGTGCTTAGTGCTTGACCGACAAGGCGCGAACAACCCGTTCTGGGGAACGCCAAGCGCGGTGAGGGTGTGACCCTCCGATTCCCTATCAGTAAATGAAGCCCCACGCATGAGTTAATATGTGCTTTAAACATGCCATCCTCGACGCAAGTTATAACATTGCGTCCATCTAATGGGACCTTTTGAATACGGATATGGTAGGGCTCGGCCAGTATCACTTGTCAGCACCTTCGGACCAACCACTGTCACAAGGTACAGAGTTTGAACCTTGGCTAAAGATGCCAGAGGTCACTGAACTTCCCCTTGAACACTTGCAATTTGCTGGTTGTTTCCATCGATACTGCCAGCTGTGCGAGCCTCAGCCGCCGCCGCTGTGCCTGCAGAAGTTCCTGCCTCCTCGCACAGCTGAAATGGGCATGTTGGTTTTGAAGCTCTCCGTTCGCCTTGGTTTAAAGGGATCCTGCAGATACCAAAAGCACAAAACCACCATGTTGCTCCCCCCCAACAAATAAGTACAGCGTACATCTCGACAGATACCCAAGCGGAGCCATCCAAAGCGGAAGCCATCGATTGGCTTACATGCCATGGCACCTCAACCTCGTGGCGTCTGTGAATGCCTTGAGTGTGCAGCTTTTTCAGTGCTTGAGCCCATGAAGTCCTCAACGCCCCGCCCCACTTTCCGAAAGGTGTTGAACACCTCTTCGGAAAAAGGGCGGCTTTCCCAAAGGGCCATTCTGGAACAGGACAGATCAGGCCCACTTCCCCCATCTTTGACACTCGTGCCCTATCATGAAAGCGAACAGGTTGAGGGATTTGCGTTTGAGGACTTTTGGGTGTTCATTCCGTTTGAGGATGCGCAAGCGGCTCTTGTCCTGCAAGATCTCGAGCGTGCGCCGGAAGAGGGGCACGGCCTGCGCTGCAAAATGCAGGGTATCAGATTTGGTCCCATCGGTTTCCGGCGGTATAGCCGGCTATTCATGTGTGCTTCATCCCCCATTCTCTTCAACATGGTTCTTTTCAAGAACCAGCAGTTTGCTTGGGTGTTCGGTGGGTTTCCGGGAAGAAGCCTTCCTGGAAAGAATGGGGGAAGCTACCCCAGCGCGTGCATTGCTCACCAGGCTTAGCCACAATAGCTACCTACAATGCTTATTCACAAGGGTTCATTTCCAGGGCTACTCACTTCGCCTAAAGAAAATCATTTGAGCAACAAAGGAGTCAACTTCAAAAAGCATTACAGTTCTGAAACCTCCGTGCAACTCCATGTGAGCTATGCTCAGAACCCCTTTTGCGGCTCATGGTTGCTCCCTTAATTGGAAGCCTTATGTGGTCTCTGGGGTCTTTGGACGATGGCACCGCGAAAGGAACCGCCTTGGCCAGGTGTTGGCTCTAACACCATGGGGTGACCCGCAAACTTCCGACAAGGCCTCCGCAAAGCGCTGCCGCGAGCACAACACCTGCGATTTCCAGGTATGACACACCTGGAGGTAGAGATGCTGTTGACCTTTGCAACCAATTTGCCATGGGGAAGCCCTTGTTGACTAGTTTGTTGTTCTTTTGTTCCTACATCAGTTTGAAAGATCTTGCTGAACAAGTGTAGGCCCCCCGCAGCCAAAAGAAAAAGCTAAGGGGTTGTTCAGGTCGTGGGGGTTATGGGACAAACAGATGCAGTGAAAAGCCCAGCTAGATCCCTACAGCTACCATTCTCAGAGCATCTCAGAGCCATTCCATGGGTCCCTCCACCAAATTCTTCGAAACCACGCACTTGAAACGTGATCAGAGGATTTCAATGGAAGTTGTTGAATGATGGGTGTAAAAAGCGAATGCTGCAAAGTGCAACCGTGGGACCAACGCCAAATATGCCGAAGCACCGCAGGCTCATGACTCTGCAATCTATGGTTCCTTTGAGTTTCGTCTAGGGGTGCAGGGTCTTCCTGTTGCAAGAGGTGCTCACCTCATGCATGCACCTGCCATTGCGGTTTCCTGCGAGGATCATGGGTTCCGTACCACCCAAACGCTTGCACCAGGACACTAACATGGAACCGCATCCCCCTAAACCATATCCCTGTGCAGAGCCTCCAGAGTTGAGCCATTCCCAAACCTCCACCGCAAGCAACCCTCGGGTTCGATTTACGACGAACTAGTTTGGAGCCGCTGGAGCAACTGAGAACTAACGGTCCGCTGAAATAGGTGACCACCTTCCACGTTGTCAGCTGGCGAGCAAGATTGATTCTAACCATGTTTCAACCATGACTCACGACCACTTCCTGCCAAAATCAACAGAAGTCACCTTGAGCGAATGGAAGCCGGACTAGGGGACAAAAGGAAACACCTGCATTTTGCCGGCATTTTCGAGTGACATACGCCCAGGCAGTACCACCAACAGACCCGGAGCCTTTTCAGGAACACGCCCTGCCCCATGCCCAGCTCGCCTCAGCTCGCTGGAAGCACTCCTGCGCTGCCAGTGGAAGGCCATCGGACCTCAGCTCCGTCTTCGACTGGGGCCCCTCCTTGGCCGCCGCGAGAGACGGGGGCGTGAGAAGCAAAGGAGAACCATGCAGTTCTCCCAGCGTTGAACAGACAAAGACATGTTGTCTCCTGTGGTGTCCCTTGGTGAGCGAGATTGCGCATCCACATGCACCATACCCCTTGGCAATAAACGGCCATCGTTCAACGTGAACCCGGGCGAATCTCGGGTCACGCATCTCGCATAGAACCGCTCAAGGTCAAGAAATGCATAAGCGTTTTCATACTTCAGCAAGGTTGCTGCGCTTTGTGAGGAACTTGCTCTCCCCCAGCCAATCTACAGAAAGTGAACACTTCCGGCTCCTAAAATTGAATCTGTACCATGCTCAAACTCTTTGTGTGGGGGGCATGATCAGTATTTCTCAGTGTTAACCCCTACAATGTACAATGGTTGTCTGAACTTCACATGACATGGATACAAACCATCAACCAGGTCTTCGACCATCATCCCCTGCAGCTGCTCGTGTCCAGCCAATGGTTTGCCTTCTAGCCCAAGCAACAGACCAATGCCCAGGGTTGCTCCCTGAGGGTAAATGGGGAACGCCCAACATGAGGGGTTCGCTGTGCTTTGCAGGGGCCGGCTAAAAAGAAAGCACCTTTACCAACTGACTTAGATAATCCCCGTGTAAAGTAGGTGGTTTCTGAATGTATAATGTAAGATTTTAAGGACTTCAGTGAGCCAGCCTCTTCTTCATTGCAATGTTGACGGATTTATAGACTAAGGGGGGTTTTCGGTCTTCCCCTCCAAAGTGGTGAGCCCCCCACTGAAAGGGGACCCCCCCCCCCCAGCCCGCGCAGATCAAGCCCTCGGCGCCCCGTTTCCGCCGTCCGGGGCCTCGTCCTGCTCTGACGGATCCGGTGAATGGGCAAAGCTACACAACAGGCTGGCCAATAACCATCTGGGTGTGAAATACGTCTGGAAATGTAGATTACCTATCCCCTTGTGGCTTCCTTTCAGACAAAAGCGCGCACACACACACATACACACATATGGGCGGTTGAGCACCCAAACACGGCATCTGGGCCAACTACTATTGGCAGTAATATCCGGCAGAGTTGGGGGGGGTGGCATATAAGAACCATAGTTTGGAGTAGCTATCTACATGCACACTATATATCTCGGTCTCTCTCTCTCTCTCTTTCGTGTTCTTCCTAATTACTCCTTACAAACTTCCTTTTCTTCCAGTTCCACACTAGCCTAATCTCAACTTACAAACTAAACTTACTACCTGCCACTTCCTGCAGCTCCGCGCTAGACACTCATTTACTAACTTGCTGCCCTTTCCTCCAGCCCCCACGCCGGATATCCCTTCCTCCAGAGTGCACAGGATACTGACTTGCTATTTACCTTCTCTTTGCCGTGGTCTGGGATAACTTGTTTGATCCCAATTTTGTGTGACCCTGAACTATGTTTGATGCGCATGCGACCAAGAAAAGGACAAACCGTGTTTCTTAAAGTATGTGTCCCGTGAAATGGTTGACTTCCTTTTGGTTTCTCTTCAATAATGAATCAAAGGGCTCTATCCATACGCCCGATTTGAACAAATAAGTCGGGGGCAGAATCCGACATTGGCCGCATCCAAAACGGGCGACACGAACTGCTGCAGGCAGCTCCTTTGCGGGACCTGGCCGACACATTCGCCACAGACAGCCCGAAAGCAATGCACAATCCAATGGATCGCTTGGCCCGTCATTTTTTCTCAACCTCGCAGACACGCATCAACATGAGAGCATAACGATCCTCCGCTGTCAGATGTAAGCTTGTGATCGCAACATAATCCCACCTGCCACGATGTACAACTGAAATGAGTCTTTTGACGACTATTCTGTGTTCAGCGCAAATGACCCACGCTGAACTGCATTTGCATGTACACTCACATGAAGCCCATCCCGTATCCCCGAACATGAAGGCACAGCAGCAAAGTGCTGACGTGAGACGTCCTCTACCACCAAACATGCCAACACCAACATCCTGAAATGCAAACAATAAACAAGCGCAGCTTCCGCATCAACATGTGGAATGCCACCAGCAAATGGTAAATCCTGGCCTGCCCATGAGTATCAGAGACTATTATCTTATTTATATCAAACTTATATCACACTTGAAGTAACACATCACACACGAACACAAACACCTGTCTAAACTCATCATCGACTACACTGACGTGCTTGCCTTTGCCAAGTTTCAAGCTTCCCAGTCACGGGAAGGTTGCATTTGGTTTCCATTTGATTCGTATTCTAAAGCTCCCCCCTCCGACAAACGCACGCGCGCATATGCCACGCAACTGTTTGGCTAGGGAAGCCAACGTGCGGGGGGCGGGGGCAAATCTCATACATGCCATGCTCAAAACGTATCCTGCTGCATCAAACACGAAAAGCTACTGTTGCGATTGTTCGACAGCTTGATACCATGCCACTCAAAGGGGTCCCCGGCACGTTGACCCATTTACTCATGTGACAAGTGCATACGCGTGGCGTTCTCTCAATCGGAATGCCTGGAGCCGTAGGTCGAACATGTGTGCTTCAGAGGATTGGTCAGCGCTGTCCCCCAGAACCTACTTTGCGCATTGAAAGCTCAAACTGGGCTTCTTTTGGCGGCTCTCAGGGTGCAAAGTCAGCTCAAAACAACAAGCACACAACAAAACCAAACAAACAAGCAAACAAACAAACAAGCAAGCTAGCAAGCTAGCACGCAAGCAAGCAAGCAGGAACAGCACAGCACAGCACAGCACAGCACAGCAAAGCACAGCACAGCAAGTGGCCAAGCAAGTCGACAAACAAAGAAGCAAGGAAGCACACATCACAAGCGAATGAACATACAAACGATAGAACAATTCAGCAAGAAAACAAACCAAAACGAAAGACCTTCGGGCCCTACAGACAGACAGACAGACAGGCAGGCAGACAGACAGACAGAAAGACAGACAGACAGACACACAGACAGACAGACACACAGACAAACAGATTCAGATGGACGGACGCACAGTCAGACATACAACCCGACAAACCAAGCAACCCAAACAACCTAAACAAATCAAACAAACAAACAAAGAGACTGTACCACACAAACACTAGCTGCCACCAGCCGCAAAAACTAACCGTGCGCCTGAGCTGCTGTGTTTCCAAGGGACCTTGCAGGACTGCTCCCCACAAATGGCGATCCATGAAGTCAAGGAGTGTAACCCCACAGAACAAGGGCTTGTTCCTATTCCATTCCTCGGTAACATAGTAATCATCGGTAAGGGGAATGCAAGCGTACTCCAAATTGCCAAATTGCTGGTAAGCAGGATGGTCGCAAGAGGGACAAACTGGTCAGCGTTGTTGTTTTGGTTTACCTTGAAACATGAGCCAACAAAGGGTTTGCAATTGTAGAACCCCCCCTCCCCCCCGCACAAACTCGCAATACGTGAAAGCTTGAACCAAAGAGCAGCCAACCAAATGTTAAAGTTGCAAGTGGGTGCCGCCTTTCCTCAGGCATGGTGTCATCGGAAGGGGTCGGGAGGCTGGAAGACGCTTCTCCTACAGCCTTCTGGCTTTCACTCCGGGTGGCTGTCGGTCCCAGAGTGGCCATGGGAGAAGCTGAGGGGGTAGGTCTGATTTGGTTCGTTTTGAAGGCAAACTAGGGAGATGGCTGTGGGTCAAAAATAGGTACCCAAAATGGAACCCTGGTAAGTGGCAACATGGACCAAAACCTGTGGTCCCTGGTGGTTTAATTTTGACCCACACCCACATCTGGATTTACAAAAAGTTTGAGCCAATCTAAAGTTTGAGATCTGGATTTTCGAAACTCCTGTACGGAATTTCTGAAGTTCGAACCAACCAAAACAGGGCCCAACATGTTGACCCTTGGGTGGATATCCTTTAGGTGGGGATTTACATCCACCAGCCGTTTGCCAAGTTATTCTCCGCCAAATAAAACTCGCACACATACGGGCTGGGCCTTCTAGAGGTGAAGAAGGAACAAAAAGACGCCAAGAGGAACACCCAGTTTCGGAAGTTCCCCTTTTGACACATACCCATATGGAACCTATCCATGGTGCCCAGCTAGGCGGGGGGATCACTTTGGTCGCAGTTTTTGGATCACTTTGGTCGCAGCTGAAATCCACTCACTTTGGTCGTAGTTTGAGCATTTGCGGATCACTTCTGTCGCAATTTTTGGATCACTTCAGGCGCAGTGGAAGATAGCTTTTTGAGCACTAACAACAGGACACACGCAAAGGGTGTTGCCTCTCAAACACCTAACAACAAGACATGCCGCGTGGGGTGGGGTCGACAAGGATGTTGCCTCTCAAACACCTAACAACAAGACATGCCGGGTGGGGTGGGGTCGACAAGGATGTTGCCTCTCAAACACCTAACAGCAAGACATGCCGGGCGGGGTGGGGTCGACAAGGATGTTGCCTCTCAAACACCTAACAACAAGACATGCCGGGCGGGGTGGGGTCGACAAGGATGTTGCCTCTCAAACACCTAACAACAAGACATGCCGGGCGGGGTGGGGTCGACAAGGATGTTGCCTCTCAAACACCTAACAACAAGACATGCCGGGCGGGGTGGGGTCGACAAGGATGTTGCCTCTCAAACACCTAACAACAAGACATGCCGGGTGGGGTGGGGTCGACAAGGATGTTGCCTCTCAAACACCATAGTCAACGGCGAAGAAACTAGGACCGAAGCGAGTAAGGAAACTAGGACCGAAGCGAGATGAAAACTAGGACCGAAGCGAGCCAGCAACTAGGACCGAAGCGAACCCGCGACCCGAGCAGCTAAAGGTTCACAGGATTCCGAACTCCCACCTTCCAGGCTCTGGGGCGCTGGCGCCGCGCCGAGGGGGGCTGGGCCTAGGCTGTCAGTGTCCTCAAATTGGGGACACCCGTTTTGGAGCGGGCAACCAATTAGACCCGGTCAATAGGAGAAAAAAAACAAGTTTCAACATTTTATTAGTCAGGTGCTGCCACAGAGTGGTCTCCAGGGCTTGCTGAAGCAGTGCTCTAAATTGCCCCAGTTTTGCTGGCATTGACCACCCACTGGACGGTATGGCTTTTTGAAGCTCCTATATCGTTTTACCGTGGCTGTCCTTCAAATACTGTCGCGCGTAGCCGCAAGACATCAGTTTGTCAATTTCTGACCAACAGGCCAACTTGTCAGAAGTGAAGCTAATGTTGTGCCCGGGCAATCCAGCGGTCTCCTCCCTAGCTCAAACAAGCCAGAAGGCCCCGGAAATCATTGTCCTCAAAAAGGGACTCGGGGGTACGTATAGGGGTTTTGGCCGCTGAACGCTTTGGTGGACATCATTTGGCGGCGCATGCATACAAACTTCTTTGAAGGGGAGTTCCTGTTGAAACTCATAAGTGCCGTTTGTGTGTGTGTGTGTGGTGTGTGTTTGTGTTGTTTGTGTTGTGTGTGTTGGTGTGTGTGTGTGTGGGTGTGCGTTGGCGTGTGTGTGTGTGTGTGTGTGTTGGTGTGTGTTGGTGTGTGTTGGTGTGTGTTGGTGTGTGTTGGTGTGTGTTGGTGTGTGTTGGTGTGTGTTGGTGTATGTTGGTGTATATTGGTGTGTGTTGGTGTATGTTGGTGTATATTGGTGTGCGTTGGTGTGTGTTGGTGTGTGTCTTGGTGTGTGTTGCTGTGTGTTGGTTATTGTTGGTGTGTGTGTGTGTGTGTTGGTGTGTGTGTGTGTGTGTTGGTGTGTGTGCTGGTGTGTGTGTGTGTGTTGGTGTGTGCGTTGGTGTGTGCGTGTGTGCGTGTGTGGGTGTGTGGGTGTGTTGGTGTGTGTGTGTGTGTGTGTTTTGGTGTGTGTGTGTGTGTTGGCGTGTGTGTGTGTGTGTGTGTGTGTGTGTGTGTGTGTGTGTGTGTGTGTGTGTGTGTGTGTGTGTTGTGTGTGTGTGTGTGTTGGTGTGTGGTGTGTTGTGTGTGTGTGTGTGTGTGGTGTGTGGTGCGTGTTGGTGTGTGTGTGTGTTGGTGTGTGTGTGTTGGTGTGTGTGTGTGTGTGTGTTGGTGTGTGTGTGTGTGTTGGTTTTTGTGTGTTGGTGTGTGTGTTGGTGTGTGTTGGTGTGTGTTGGCGTGTATGGGTGTGTGTTGGTGTGTGTTGGTGTGTGTTGGTGTGTGTTGGTGTGTGTTGGTGTGTGTTGGTGTGTGTGGGGCCTGCGTTCGTGCGTGCGTGCGTTGCGTTGTGCGTGCGTGCGTGCGCGCGCGCGTGTGTGTGTGTGTGTGTGTGTGTGTGTGTGGGTGCGTGCGTGCGTGCGTGCGTTGCGTGCGTATGTTTGCGTGCGTGTCTGTGCGTGCGTGCGCGCGTGCGTGCGTGCGTGTGTGGGTGGGTGGGTGGGTGTGCGTGTATGTGTGTGTGTGTCTGTGTGTCTGTGTGTCTGTGTGTCTGTGTGTCTGTGTGTCTGTGTGTCTGTGTGTGTGTGTGTCTGTGTGTCTGTGTGTCGGTGTGTCGGTGTGCCTGGTGTGCGTGTGCGCGTCTGCGTGCGCGTTAGTGTGCGTGCGGACGCGCGTGGGTGTGGGTACGCAGTGTGCGGTGCGTGCGCATGCGCGTGCGCGCGCGCGGGCTGGCAAACTCAAAACACTGTCTTTGGCCTTGTGGGTTCCTTGAATCATTGACGGAGTGCCAAAAGGGGTCTGGAAACAGGTTTCTACCGGGGAATTCAACACCCAATTACACGATAGAGATCAGCCAAGGGATAAGGCCAGAAGCCCTCAGCGTGCTCGACTGGGCCCTTGGGCACATCGGCGTCCGGGGTGGGCCGCAACTGAACGTCCGCTGCCTCTGCACTGTGCGGCACGCAATGCTTGGATGTTCAACCTGCTTGGTAACAATGGGTATTCCCTTACCCAACTGACAATGGTTGCAATCGACATACAAAAGTTAAACATCCAAGTATGCTCACCCTAGTTGCTGAAGGGTTCTTAACCAGAAAAAGGAGCCTGTTGGAGGGATGCCCAGGAAGGGTGCCAATGAATTGCAGCATAAACATGGCAAGAACATTCCCGCACATTGCCAGCTTCCATGAGAAAACAACAACTTGGAGGCCAATGCTAGACAATGCACTATTACAGATGAATATGCCAACAAACAATTGAGACCCCCGTGACGATCATGCTACCCTGATCGCTTCAGAACCAAGCACTCAAAGCGAAACATATGCGGCCACGATTGCGGACAAGTTCTTATGATTCTGAAACTTGCGCACTTGTTGCCAATTCTGGTGACGTGTAAGAACTTGGCCTTGGAAGCAATGACTGCCATCCCAGCGTCACGGAAGTGCAAAGGCCCCTGATTCATGCTCCTCTTCTCCTTAAGGTTCTGGCTATTAATCACCCAGTTCTAAAGGGATACCCCGTCCAAAAAAGAAAGCCACGGCAGGTGCGGGCGTCATTTTGGAAGTATAGATGGTATGTAACGTACTGGCAAGAATGATTGAAAGCATGCATACATTGCTGCTTTACTCAATGAGATTGTGACAGGCAATGCACCAAGTAGTTGCAGTGGCAGTTCTGACGAAGTCATACCTGTTCATCTAATACAGTTGACAATTCTTCATCAGAGTTCCCTACGTATTTGCCAGTGCCGACTGAAAATGAAATCGAAGAAGAAGATGACGAAGATGGCGAGATTTGTCTAGAACAGCTTAAGAACTTCGACTCCTCAAAGCAACCAAGAGGGCGCATGGGCATACCCTAGCCTCAATTCCTTGCACAGGTAGATATGCGGTGTGCTTCTCTTTTGAAACAAATACTCGCTAAATATGAATAATATGACTAAGTGTCAGAACTTGTACAGTTGTGATCAAATGCATTACAAAACCATCTCATTTACATTTCTATCGTTCGTATTTTCTACTGTGCCAGAGATCTGCAAGGTGCATCCCCCACAGCTTCAGTGTACACTCCAAACGTTACTTTGTCTGACATATGCTGCCCCTTCAAGTGAAGACAATCTGTTTTCTGGCTAACCTGCGAGGGGCGCTTCGCCCCGCTGGCTGAGTCGCCCGTGCCACTGGCACCTCTCTGCGCGAAGCCTGCGGGAGGTGCACGGAAACCAAGACCTCCACTGGATTTCGAAAGGAACACAGGGTGGTTGGTTCAGATTCAAGTGGATTCCCAGGGACAACAAGGGGCACCATGTTTTGACTGGTTGTCTTTGAAGGGATCCAGCCCCAACCAAAGAGCAGAAAAGCGGGTCCCGGTAGGTCTGTAGCTTGTGCAAAGGGTCTCACACATTTGTATGTATTATATGTATGTAACGTAGTGTCATGTAATGTAATGCAACGTAACGTAATGTAAATGTGTATGTATATGTGCGTGTGTCTCTCTGTGTGTGTGTTGTTGCTTGAAGGTGCTCTTATTAGGTTGATTAAACGAGAAATCGCAAGGAAAGTCACCATTTCCGGACCCCCCTCTGTGACACAGATCCATTTCCAGGTCCCTGCTCTTGAGACTAGACAAATTGGAATATTCGGGCAGGAAGCAGCAACCACTGACTTGTCCAGCACACCCAGAAAGGGTCAAGCAAACCGCTCACCCATTGCAAACATGAGACAAGCAGGTAGAACTAAACGTGCCAGCGGTCGGCCAAATTGAAAAGTGCCAGGCGCCTGCCTTAACCACAAGCTAAGGGTCCAGGGTTGTGCGTGATGAAGCCCCAAATTCCAAGGGCGTAGGCAAGTCCTGCCTTCTTCGAGTCGCCGGCAGCCTGAGAACTTGAAAGCGCAGGACAAGTATCAGCATTTTCAGGCAAGGAGCTTCCGAAAATGGAGGCTCCAAGGGGGAACAACGACTCCCACTAACATGGCACCTGTGAGAGGGTGCCTGGAAGATCAGTTTTCTCTTGGAGGGACCCTATGTCAGGTGCCATGTTAGTGGAAGAGAGGCTTCCTGACAGCAATTGATGATTGATCATGCTGTTTACCTCACTGGCTAAACCACCCAGAGCATGGCTACCCTCCCAGGCAGTTTGGAAGTCCGAGTGTCTGAAAGGGGCCTCACTTCTGTGTTTGGTGGAGTGGGAGGGTAGGCTTTCATTTCTAATCATTTGGTGGCCTTACCCTGTTTTGGTGGAACCCTGTTTTCACACGCAACCACAATATGTTGCGGGGGTTGCCAGCACCGCTGTCACCCCAAGGCACATGGATTCACTGTTCATTGAGTTCAATATGGCAAATTCTGCTTGGTGTGCGTTGTTTCCTGCGAGTTGTTTGGATGCACCTGTTTTCCGTACAAATGCATGCTTTTGCCCTCCATTGTCTTGCAGGAGGTCATGTCAGCCAGGTTGCTGCCAAAGCTGAAGACGAGGACACGCCTGCCCTTATGTTCAACCGGAATAGTCACCAGTTCAGTTTGCAAGCCGGTTCCAGGGTCGCCAAAAGGTTTGTGGTGTTTCAGACTGCCCAAATGGCTTTTGAACAGCGCACCAAATGTGGGTGCTTCATCGAACATGGGGGCCTTTATGCTTGGGCTCTACTTGGCTTCCGACGCATCAACCCACAGTCGTCCAAGTTGAGGCCACGCCGGAAGCCAAAGGAAGCGACTGCGTGTTAAATCTTACAAGTCCTTTGCATGATTGAGTCCTTATCATGGTTTTCATATTGGGTGTTGACCAGTTGGTTTTCTTTAAAAAAGAGGAAACAAAATGCCCGAAAAGGCTAGACTTTTTCGCGGCTGCGACTGAACACCGCCTTCCCCTGCTTCTTTCGCTCATCATGGTTGCAGCTTCGCAGTGTTGAGCAGCCCACCAAGAGAGCAAAACCGACAAGCAGGGTATCAAATAGTGACCGGACCAAGCTTTTACACCCCACAAAACCCAGAAAGGGGGCCAACCCAAGAAACCCTTCTGAGAAACGCAAGCGGCAGCATTGCTCTACAGCACACACACACACACATCCTGCAGCTTTCATATGTCATCGACTTCGACCCATGTGTTTTCTTGCCGGCAAAACCAACAGTTGCTTTCGCGGCTTTATGGAGGAATGCACTTAAACCAACACCGGATGGTTACCCAATTTAAAGCCCTCACAGGCATTTGACTTTTGGTGCGTACCCATAGTATAGATTCTGTAAGCACCGGAAGTCTCCCCAATGATTCCCTGTTCCAGCATGGTACAACAAATCTGCGTCTGCATTGGGAAGAAAGGATGTGCCCCCGGGAGGACCACAACTCATTCCGATTTGGAGGGGCCTTTCTGATCCGGCTCCCTGTTGGCGACTCCGCAAGACTCTGTTTTTTGACTTCAGTCAACTTCGCATCCCGCTCCGGGCCGTCCTGCCTCCTTGCCCGCGGCCACCGCCTGAGCCTGCAAGGTATTTAAATGTGGGCCAATACTGAACCAACACTTAACCGAACCCCATGAATACAATCATTATCGCAATATCATCCGGAAGCATTTGTTGAGCACTTCCTCTTGCAAGGGACGGACAAAGACTTCCTTTAATTGCTGTGAAGCATTTTGTATCAATAAACGGGCCCACCAGAAACGGAAAAAAATGCACCGCCTCCTCCCACAGCTGTCCGACATCGCCCTTGTAGCCCACGGACCGAGCGAACCTCGGCTCCGGCCGGAATCTGCAGGGTTCAGAGTGAGTCACGCTGTAGATTACAGCACGCGTCAGCACCAAGATCAGGTTTTTCTTGCGGGGGGTTTGGGGGGGGGGGGGGTGTTTGCGATCTTGGCGGTAGATTAACATAGAATCCAAAGAAACCCGCAAGAGCACGCCGTGTAGAGCTAGAGTAAGCTCCTTTTGGAGAAGAACGTGTCATCATTTTGCAGGGAATCTTCGCTTCCAACCCCCAAAATTTTGCCGGGTGCGAAAATAAGCATGACCTCCTGGTGGCCAGGCCTGTCTGACGTGTCTGAGACTAGGCTCAGGCCCAGCCCAACCAGCAACCCGCCTGCTGGCCAGGCCTGTCAGCCCAGCCCACCCAGCCTCAGGCCCAAGCTAACAGGCCTAGCAAGCCCAGCCCAGCCTGCCCAGCCCCGGCGCATTTCAGGGCATGCCAGACTAGGCCGCCCGCTCCCAGCCCACCAGGTCAGGTTTGTCTAACGTGTCTCAAACTCCTCAGGCCAACAACCAGTCTCACGTGTCTGAAACTGCTTGCATCTGGCCCCAAGTTATCTAGCAGCCCAGCCCCTTCGGCGCAGTCTGAGACTGGTTTGAAAGTATGTTAGCCTGAGACTAGTTTCAGGCCCAGTCCCTCAGTTCGCCTGCTGGCGTGTCTTACGTGTCTGCGACTGGCCTCAGGCCCAGCCCAGCCAGCAACTTGCCAGCCTCCACCCAAGCACAGCTCGCCCAGCCCAAGTTCCAGGCGCAACCAGCAGCGTAGTCGGCTACCCGGCAGCAGCCTTGAGACTAGCTTCAGGCCCAGCCCAAAGCCTGCCCCAGCCCAGGCCCCGGCGCATCTCAGGGCATGCCCCAGCTCCCCACCAGCAGGCTCAGCCCAGCATGCCAAGGTCAGGTTTGTCTACAGCTACTCAGCAGCAGGCCCCTTCAGCGCAGTCTGAGACTGGTCGGCATGCCAGCCTGAGACTAGCCTCAGGCCCAGTCCCTCAGCCCGCCTTGCGACTGGCCTCAGGCCCAGCCCAGCCAGCAGCCCATCCAGCGACCCGGCGCAACCAACGTAGTCCGGCTGCCCAGCCACCCATGGCTTCGCAGCCTTGTGGCTGAGACTAGCTTCAGGCCCAGCCCAACCAGCAACCCGCCTAAGCCAACCCCACCCAAGCCCACCCTGTTTGAGACTCGCAGGCCTCAGCCTATCCAGTGCCAGAGACCAGCCTGGGCTCAACTAGCCCAGCCCAGTCCGCCTGCTGGGCCTGTCTGACGTGTCTGAAACTGGCCTCAGGCCCAGCCCACCATAGCCCAGCCCCCTCAGTGCGGCTGCCCAGCCGTAAACTAGCTTCAGGCCCGCTCAACCACGCAAGCAAGGTCCAGCCAAGCTGCCCGAGACTAGCTGTGGCCCAGCCCAACCAGGCGAGGCCGGCTTGTCTGACTTGTCTGGAGCCGTATTCGGACCTTCCCAACACTGGATTTCGGTGTTCCTGACCCTTCCCTCAAACTAGGCTGGGCCGAGGCGGGCAACGCGAAGCGTTTACAATTACTGGAGAAGGGCCAACAAAAAGAACAAGAGAAAAGGATCTATCTGAACCCCCAAAACATACCCCGATAGCCTGGTTTAGTTGCAAAGAATCCACTGGCTTCCCAACCAACAATTGAAGCATTTACCCAATCTTGCCCATACGCACACCCACACCTTGGTCACAAGACACACGCACACAGTAGCACAAGTATATTCACAGCGACTGGCAAGTCTCAACGTGTAAGCTTCTCAACTTAACCGTGGGGCCTGAAAAATACCTCGGCGCCTCAAACAAGTCGCCTGCAAGAAGCTAAGCGCCAGGTTCTACCACATGCGGCAGGGTAGGAACTGCCACTCTTGTGATATCACAAGTCTTCCCACTATCAGAGTTGATCCAAAGACCTTGGCGCAGGGGTAGGAGTCTGGTCCCTGCTGGGAAGCTCAAGGACACCAAGCCAAATTGTTTGGTCAGCTTTGAAAGGCTAGCAGCACAAGTCTGCACTCAGTTCCCTATCTCATTGTCATTGAGTGCTTCCCATCTTGCAAACCTGACTCAAAACTCGAGGGCGCTGAGGTTGTGCCGGTGCTTTGCTTGCAAGGGCCAGCCCCACTGCTCTCCGGGAAAAGATGACCACAGGCGAGTTGGAATTAGTTACACGGCGAAACTGCGAATGGCTCATTAAAGCAGTTATAGTTCATTCAAACGTCACTGCTACATGGATAACTGTGGTAATTCTAGAGCTAATACATGCGCAAAAACCCGACTTTGCAGGAGGGTTGTGTCTATTAGATACAGAACCAACCCAGGCTCTGCCTGGACATGTGGTGATTCATGGTAACTTGATGAATCGTGAGCTTTACTCTGGAGTTCGGATCCCCAACAAGGAAGAAACCAGCTGAAGGCTTGAGCCCTTTGTGTTTGCCTTACACTTCAGGTTGCTTAGGTCGCTTAGAAGTTCATCAATTTCACGACCCCTGCCCAAAGTTGACCCTTTGATGGTCGGCTATTTGGCTCAAATTAAACAGGAGCCAACGCATTACCCTGACACCACGACACTTGACATGGGACGGGCTCCAACGAGAAGCATTGCATGTGCTCTTGTCTGATCTTTTGTCAGCCACGTAATGCTCACCTCCATCCTTTTGGGATATGACCCTTGTGCCAAAGAAGGCTGTCCCCAGGAAGACTTGAGCTCACTTGAAATGTGCTCTTTCCACATCCACGTTCACCTCCAACTCACAATTTTTGAAGTTGTGCGCGTAGCCCATTCGTCACCACGATGAGCATTACGAGTGTCGCCATAGAAGACTGGAGGGAATTGCAAAGCAGTCGAGCGATCACCGTCAGAAATAGGGGGAGCATAGGTGAACATTTCCTCGACTCGGATTGCATCGGAATTCTGCACATCAACAAGTGATTGATCACGGGCATGATGTGTAGAGAAGGACTCCCTGCAGTGTCCCAGCCCAGTGACCCTGGTACCCTTTTTCGGTGTGAACTTTTTCTAGTGACCGGTTGGGTAAAATCCAACCCAACTCTAAGCACAAAATGGAACTGGCTGGATTGCATCCAATTTCGGGACCTCCAAGATCGTGG